CCTGGTGATCGACCTGCACTTCCAAGGCGACCAGTGAGGCGGCCTGTTCTCACATCCAATGATCGGTGGTTTATAACATATGGATCGGATACAAACATCAGCCTCCAGAAGGAATCCGTACACCCAGCACCTTTCGGAAACTCAAAATTCCTGAATTTTGTGTACGAGTACTACAGGGAATGCTCAATCATCCTCGATGTCAATCCGGATTTCCACTTCGTTCCGGAGCATGAGAGACCACATGGAGTTAAGGTATTCTGGTTGAAGGCCAGATTCAACGATTACTGGCAGCCAACACTCCAAGGTGAAGGGCCTCATACGGAGAGGCAATACATGGACTTCATCAAGAAGGTCTACAGCATCTGCTGCTACACCAATGCTCAATCCGAAGTTTACGGAACAGACATCATCCCGATGGTATGCCACAACGGCAACATTGATCTCGAGAAGACCGTCCAGAATGTCGAACAGGTTTGCAAATACTTCCGCATGGATCCATCCAAGGCGAAACAGATCACAGATCTCATCCTCTGGCGAATTGAGAGAATGAGCAGATCATTTTCCGGATGTCTTCGACATGATCCAAGGCATGGACTCCATAAGGAATGCAGACGACAAGTGGACATGGGTCCTGATGGATCCGTCGAGCTCTATGACGCATTGACCTGCATCACACATGCCAGGAACTTCATTGAAAATAAGCCAGGACTTCTCTTGATGGCTATGTTCCCGAGCTATGGAAAATCACGCTTCGAAATTGCATTCGTATTTCCATCCATGGACGTGCCATATAAGGAGCGCAAGGCACGGGGAGAAATTGTTCCAAGGAATCGATGGATCGACAAGCTCACCACAAGATCCGCACGGACTGCGCTCAGGCCCGATGGCAAGGAATTCTATGTCGATCCAGAGATGGAGTTCTACGTGAGATGCAACAGCGGACACACACGACAAGCCGAGATCCAATCCTTTGGACGACCCTGTACTCTGAGCAGCAGAAAGAGCCTCAACACGACGAACCGGACTATGATCTACCAACGGAATCTATTCCGCCAAGTCCGCATCCGTCAAGATCCGAGACGCCTCATGAAGATGAAGGCACAGCTCAGCCCAAGCACAGAATGCGAAGGCCGGCACCACCATCCATTGAAGAAGAGAGAAAAATCAAGCCGTTCGCGAAGCAGCCCACCACATTCATGTTCCATGCAACCAATGGAAATCAGCTCTTCAGCATCATGGAGCACGGGCTCAAATCTGGGAAATCCCAGTCAAACCCTTCGGGGAGAATGCACGTCCACATGGCATGCGTCGATGACGTCATCCTTGACGACGATGAGTCAGAAGCCGCATTGACCATGTGCCAGCAGGAAGATCAACTTGCATTCCTCAAGGACTGGCGTCCGACTCTCCGAAGAGCGAACAGCGTTGACAGACAAAACCATCGAGGCAAGGAACATTGTTGCAGCATTTGAACCTGATGGCAGCCTCATGGCGAGCAACAAGTGGATCATGAAGAAGCATCTCAGTTATGAAGATTACGAGGTGTACGACACCAAGATCCGCGAATTTGCCGACGCCTTCTTCAATTATGTGAATTCCACCAAGCACAGCAAGGAAAAAGATACTTCCTCAGAGACCAAGAAGAGACGGCATTCCACCGATCAGGACGAAGCTGAAGAAGAGACGATGGAACCCTCCGGGGAAAGATCCGTCAAGCCAAAAGTCATCGTGGAATATCACAATTCAGAGAACCTAGATGAGTTCATCCAAGAACTCAAGGGAATCTATCTCGAAACAGATTTGAACAAAAAGGCTGCAGAGGAAGAGCTCGCGGAGACCAAGGCAAACCTCTCCCGCTTCATGAACAAGTTCAACAAAGATCCAAGAAGAGCTCATCCCAACTTGACAGAGTGCGAGAGAGCCTCATTGGCACATGTCGATCCCGATGTCAATCTCGGAGAAGAAGAATTCTACTTCCCTCATCGAGGAGAATGTCCCACCATTGACGAGTACAAGCAAGCTCAACCAGGATCCGGATATCCGATTAAGCTTCCGCTTGGATTGAAGAAGCTCAGGTCACATGATGACCCGGAAATCATCCGAGCCTATGCCGATATCCTGGGATCGCTGATGCAGCCGACCGACCGTCCTCCTGTGGACTATCTCAAGATGCATGAGTTCACCTCATCCATAGCGATCAACATGCTTACCCTGAACCATGGAAACCTCACAAGGAATCCAAAGCTGGACAACAGGGAGGTGTACAACATGCCGATGAAGGATCGACCGATCGTAAAGATGATGATGCAGAACAGTGCACACATCTTATGCCTGAATGAAGCAGACGCATTCTTCAGTCCTAATGATGAGAAATCCAGGGAGCTCATCAAGACGTTCATCCGATACGGTTACAAGGGCATCGTGATCAAGCAATGGTCATCCAGACCGATCGCATGCTTTGTCCGTGGCGGACCTTCTGCAAGAGTGGAACTTCTGGCAAGACACATTTCCACCAAGAGCCAGAATTGGGGAACCACATTCGGAATGTTCAGATGTTTCTTCGGAACTGAAGGAAGTTGCACTGATCCCGAATACGAAATTCCGACCTCGGATTGCTTGGCAACCACAGGACCATCCATGTTTACTGAATCCAAGAAGTACATTGGACCGAGATTGCCAACACGCACCATTGTCCAAGGACATGGCCGAGACAAGGAGATCGTCGTTCTCCATATCGAGCAGAGTGATGAGTTTCGTGGCATGATCCCGAAATCATCCAACAAGTCACTCCACGAGTATGACGACCGCCACATAACGAGGGCAGATCTCCCATTCGCTACCATTGGAGTTTTCCACATCCATCCTTCAATTAGCCATGGAGCAGCAAGGGAAGATCTTCAGAATGAAAACATGCCGCTCGTGACTTTGTACCGATGCGATGCGATCACCGGAGACGCAAACTCCAGCACGTCTTCAATCCGGCCAACGGTCTCGTGAACATCCTCATGAGAGCATATCAGAGACTGTGGAATGAAACGAAAGATTTGCCACTCGTGGACAGAATGGAGTATGCAATGGAGACTTCGTGCACCCTAAAATCCATTGTCCGTCATCACCTGTACATGAAGTGTGGATCAGGATATGATCGAACATTCCCAGATGTGATGATGACTTTCGTATTTGGATGGGGCAAAACGAACATCCAGCAGGCTTTCCGAAGGACGAGATGAACGGCATGGATGATGAACAACTGAAATTCATGCGGAACCATCCAACCAAGGCCATATTCGATTACCAGGTCTCATCCGCAGAGCGCTTTAAGCACGTGAACAATGACATGTTCATGAATGGCTCGCAGGACTCCGACTCTCACAGTCCTCTCATGGTTTACATCCGCAGCAAATCTGCAACCAGGCAACGCAGCTCTGAGAGATACCAGGAGCACATCAAGAAGAAACAAGCCTGGACCCCGCAGGAGTACAAGGACTACAACAAGCAGTGAGGACATCAGAAGCAGTGGAAGGACTATAGCAACTCGACCTGGAATGGTTATGGAGACTATGGCAGTCAATCCGACAGCAGCCGCCGATGGTATAGTCGATCCGACTGACCATGAAGATTCATACGTTCAGCACCACGAACCCAATTCAGATGATTGATCCTCGCCGTCTACAAGACTATACCATGAGTGAGAGATCAATAGTTTCACAATCGTCCCGCGTGTACATAGCGTTGTACATCACCCTTTGATACATCTAGGTAGCTCAAAAAGAAGCAGTACATAGTGTTTTCCATTTCGAAAGCAAAGACATTTCATCCGAGCAGAAAAGAGGATGAATCCGGCATTTTTAATGCACATGGCTACGGCATACAGCATGGCTACGGCATACATCAAGGCTACGGCCAAAGGCCATGAAGCCAATAGTAGTTCATACTTAGTGCTGGAGATCAAAAGAAATTTGTGTCTGTTTTGTGTTTGGTTCTCAGACCAATTGATCTCCCGCAACATTTGGCTCAAGGCCCCTTTTGTATATCATTGCATCATTCATGATCGCGTGAAGCAAAAGAACCTTAGCAGGCCGCTTACAGGATTATCCGCAAGAGAATCCACCAGGGACAATCCATCCTCCAATCATCCACAGTGGCATATTGGATTCTCTCCGGAATAGATCCAGGGACCAACACAACGACCTCTACTACCACAGGGTACCAGTTCCCTTCTGGGATAGGCACCTGGGGCAGTGGGGCCTCAATTTGCCCCCCCCCCCCCCCAAAAAAAAAAAGAAAGAAAAGAAAAAGAGGAATGGCAAAGGACCCAGAAATCACAGGTGATCAAGGGAAGCCAAAACGTCAGATCAGGTCGATTCGCTGCTGCAAGTGGCTCAAATAAATGTACCAAGACGGCACGGTCATGTCAAATGACTTCTCCCTTCAACCAAAAGCACATATATATATATGTATATATATATATGTGTGTAAATAGGATTTTGTGGGGGTAGTTTGGTTGGAAATCGATGGGTTCCACTGGTTTAGATGGGCTTTGTTTCCCATTTACCAGGGCCATCCATTTTTTCAAGGGACCCGTTCTCTCCTTGGCAGTACTCCTTGTGGCCATTTTAGTGGGTGGCTCCTGGAGGTTGTAGTGCTCCCAAAATGGGTGTGGCTGAAAATTAAAGAGCTGAGTTTACGCGCGGGTTAGGCTTTGGGTCATCCAGGTAAAGGACCCTTTGATCAACCCCATATGACGTTTAAGAAACCCTCCGGATCGTCACCCGCCATTGTTTTTATCATCCGCTTTGCTTCTGTTTTGGGAGAGGTGCCACCTACTTTGTCTCTCCAACATGGACTGCAACAATCATCAAATTCCCACTACATGGGACAAGTTTCCATGGTGACGTGGGGCCAGGAATATAGGTCAATCCCCAGATAAACCTGTACAACCATGTTGGTAGGACTACAAGTCAATAGGTTTGCTCACTTCTCTGAAACTCCGCTTCGAGGCGGAGACGCGCCGGAGCAGTTGCAGGAGATGCTGCGGAGGTACTTCCAGCCCGAGATCCTCGAGGCACATGGGAGCAAGTCGCAAGTTAATTGTAAACGATTCGCGTTGCCCGCCTTGGCCAGTCCGCTCTTGGCTGGCTTTGAGGTATACACCGTGCTTTAGGTTGCCTTGAAGTCTTGTGTTTATTAGACTGAGTGAGTCGGCGCCAAAATGCGTAAGCTGGTTTCCAAGGTAGAGGTGGCTTCACGGGCCAGAACGAGAGCCGCAGAGGGCTACGGAATGGCAGTGGGCTTGGGCCAAGCGAAGGTGCAAATTTCTAGGGAACCTGAGTTTCCAGGAATTTGACCGGTTTCTGGCAGGATTTTGCCGGACTTTTTAGGGGATGTGACCGGTCTAGATGGGAAGTTGACCGGTTTCTTGCGGTTTTTCAGGAGGATTTGATCACTTTCTAGAGGGGAATTTGACCGGGTTTAGGGGGGTCCGGCAAAAATCTAGATTCGAGGGGGGGTGTTTTGACCGGTTTGTGAGGCGGGGTCTGACCGCTGTTCCAGGCTGCAGCTGGGGCAGGGATTTTGGCTTCTAGAACAACGAGGTGGTTTCGCAACACAAATTTTAGTTTTATTTAAGATGCACGACATGCCAACGGTTTGCGAACGGGCTTTGAGCGGGTTTCGAACGCTTTCTGATTCGGTATTTCCAACACCGAATCCTAGGCACGGCTCATGCCATGACGCACAAAGAACGTAAACGCGCACTGGACTACGCGAACATACCGCAATTGATGGATCTTCAGCAAGCGACGTCAGCAACACAAGGTTCGGTCTGTTCCGCAAGCCCGAGCGGCTTTTGTAGCACCAGTGGTGAAATTTCAACACCAAGAAGGCAAACCAATCATATTCCTGAAAAAATACAAAATTCAACAGATTTTGGGCAGTAGAGAAGGCACGATTACTAACAAGAAAACAGCGCCCCCTCCCCTCAAACAAGGCTCAAACAGCAATCCCCTTTTCTCGCAATTATCCCCTCCCCCCAACGACAATGTTGCCGTTGTTTGAGCATGCCCCCCAACCACAATCCTGAACAATTTTACCTCCCCCCCCCAATCACAACCCCCTCCCCCTTAATAATAAATCTACTATCCGCCAATTATTGTTCTAACAATTACCTCCCTCCTCCCCAAACAACAATTCCCCTCCCCCTTTTTTGGTTGAGAGGGCTTGTTGCGATTATAGTCCACCCAGCTTATCGAGACGGTCTCTGGGTGGGGTTTCGGTCAGGGCGCAGTCCCCGTCGCAAGAAGGGCGCCAACGGAATAAGAACGCGGCACATTACAGGCAGTTTTGCGCAACTGCCAAGCCACTTGGTGGTGTTGCTGGTGATGCTTGGGGTATCATTTGTGATGCTGAAGATGTCTAGCTGCACGTACCCAAGAAACTAACAAAGTGTTACTTCCGACCCTGAAACATTAGTTTCCCATCGCGGAAAGTAACCTTTCAGAAGGTTTGTTGCTGGGCGGCCCTTCCCCCGGGACACAAAGGTTAGTTTCCACCCGGAAAAAAACAACTATATTCTTCGGCCCCAGAACCTTTGTTTTCTGGAGAGAGCAGACATTCTTTGTCTAAGTTAGTTTGCTTCTCAGCCCGGCGGCCGGCTCCCTGTCACTGAGCTTCTCACAAAGGAATTTCACCTTAAGAAGCTTCTGATTCGCTCACTCCCTCGAGACCGGAGTTGTGAGAAGAAAACACCTTTACTTGGTGGTTCAAAGCGGCCGTCCGGTTCCGCAGGTTTTTGGCTGAGGGTTTGGGGTTTTCCATTGAGCCCCCTGAAAGTTAAACTTTTCGCGATCTGAGAGGCGAATTTAGGTTTACGGTTTTTATACAATACTTTCACTCCAACTTGCAAGGGCACCTGACAGGGAGCATTCCCTTAGAGGAAGCTCATCTTCCAGATGCCGTTGCAAATGGTTATTGCAGATTCCGGGTGTTTTTGTTAGCGTGGACCCCTCCCCGCACCTTTTGGACCTTGCTGTGAAGCAGTTGGAACATGCTCAAAAGCAAGTTTGTGGCTCAGTGCCCCCTTTTGGTGTTCCTTCCGTTATGTTGACCCCGGATCAATAACCCCCTGCTTGTCAATATGGTGTTCCCCTCCAGAAGTGACAACTCTCAGTAAAACCAGGGACGCCCCCCAAGCAGCGGTTTATTCATCCTGGGTTGACATGAATTTGCAAGGGGGTGACCTAGATGACCAAGACCACCAAGTCTCCACCACGAAGCACTGAACAAGCGCATCAGCAAGCACCCCTGGATGGTCCTTCAAGGATGCTAAAGGCACATATTTGGGGGATGATCCTTTTTCGGGGCGGCTTTTGAGGGGGAGGAAGTTCCAACCTTTTTGGGAACCCCAAACCACCATTCCTGATGACTAGACCTTGTTGATGGACAACAATTACAGCAGTTTGGTTTTGAGTACATGGTTCAGCTGCAGCTTCCCCAGGCACCAACAGAACGGCCAGCTTCCCTTTGATTGGTAGCTTGGGTTGGTTTGGAGGCTGCAGACGTCTTTTGGTTGTATTTTTGCAAGCAATACAACCAACTAAGAACCGTGTGCCGTTTTGTCTCGTCTCTCCAAAGAACCACCATGCCCCGCGCGAGCCCGGCGATGGATCGATCAATGCCCAGGCCAAGTGCGAGCATTGCAGCGCGGAGACGGCCAATGTGGTCCGGGCCCCTGAGGGGTTTCGCGCTAGCAAGCGCCGGGGTTAGAAGCCGCAGGTGGCTCAAGATGAACTTTAACCTGGCCACTAAAACTTCAGTGAACAAACCGACGAGATGTGATGTTCTTCACTCGGTGTCTCTATCGGAGGGGGAAGGAACAGGCAGCCCAACACTTTAACTGCAAATGTTGACCCGTTTTCTTGCTGGTTCTCAGCGGGGAATGAGAAACGGAATACCTGAAAATCATCCCCTATATTAATGGAGTCCCCAGGTGCATTCTCTCATCCGCTTGCTTAGGGGAATCAAGAGCTAGGGCTAGGGAGCACTATGAGGCAACCACAAGGGATTGTTCAGTTTGGGGTCATTCCCTCATTCGAACCCCTTCACTTGGGTTTGTACTGTATATTGCATAGATCCGGCCGTAAGCTAATGGGGTGTTTCTCAACATGGTCCCCCAAAAACGGGGGTCTTCCGTTTCGTTTCCCTTGACCTACCGATCTCGGGTGGGCAACTCATTTTGAGAAGCCTCCATTTAGTCTGTGGTTCTCCTTGAGGGCCATATGGCCCTTAAATCTTCCATGCATATGGGTGTTTTTTTCTTATTGTACCTCACAAACATTATGTGATTTGCCGTTTGGTTTCTCTTAAAAGGCAAACAAGCACCCCAACAAAAACAGATGCCCTCAGAGAAGGGCAGGCCCGTATACTTATCTTAGAGCCATAGCGACGGAGGCTTAGTAGCTAGGGGCCAATTCGGGGCCAGTGGCAGGGTTCCACTTTTGGCTATTTCAGGGTAGAATTAAAGCCCAGGGGTGGTTCAGTACCCCACAAGGGGAGCCCCAGGTTTTTGTCTATCTTGGGGGCGTACAGAACCAGTAATGGACAAGATACACCCGAGGTTGCTAGTTCCGCCTTGGGGAACAGTTGGGCTTAGAAATCGGTGCCTGAATTGTCGAGGGCGCCCTTTGTTGGGTTGCTTTAAGCCAACCATTACGGGGTCCCCCCATGCCGAGATATTCCCAAATAAGGTTAGATAACAATCATGGAAGCAAGCGTCTTCCAAACCCAGCATGGTCCTTCCGGTGATGGAAAGAGTGTAGTTCCACCGGGATGCTCTGGAAGAAAGCCAAGTAAGTTACTGTTGGGGCTTAAGAGGGCGCCCAACAGACGTCTCGAGTTCCGCTTTTGGTGGCGTTGCGCAGTTCCTTGTTGGGGCTACACAAGATGACCGCCATGTCTCAGAAGCTTTGTGCCTTTGCCACAGACCCCACGGAAAGTTTGACAACATATGAACAACATGGCTCAGAGATCTCTCTAACATACTTTTTGAGCATACCCCAGGTCTGACAACCCAACATGAAAAACATACCACCCACACACATCTTTAAACTCAACGCAGCACAAAAGGATGTCGTTTTTCAGCCCCAAAAGGATGCCTTTTTTTTCTTCTTTTTTTTGGTGGCCTTTTTTTCTTCCCCTTTCTTGAACACTTTAAAAACTCCACCCCAACCAAAAAGGATGGCCCTTTTGTCTCCCCCTTTTTTGAAACACACCAAACAATCTCAACCACATGGTTGTCGTTGGGAAACATTTTACATTTTTGCTTATTGTGGTTGAGTGGGAAATCCCCACTTAACTGCTAAAATTGAATTTGTTGCTCCCCTTCCAACGTCAACCAACGCGCCAGGACCTGAGCCTCACAGAGTTCCCGAAGGTCATGGTGCTGCACCTGAAACGCTTTGCAGGGGGCGCCCGGAGAGATTGGGGAGGAAGGCCTTTTTGTTCTTTTTTTTTTCTCGGTTGTAGCGGGTTGTGCTTGTTTTGGTTTGCGGGTTGGTTATTGTTTGCTTGTCTTTTGGTTTGCTTTTTCGGTTTTAGCTGTTTGTTTGTGTGTGTGTGTGCTTTTCTGGTCTGCGGTTGGTCATTGCTTTTGTTTGTTTGGTTTGCTCTGTTGGTTGCTTTTTGGGTGTGATTTTGTGGTTCGCTTTTGGTTGTTGTTTTTTTTGTTTTTTTGTTTTTTTTGTTGATGTGTGCTTTTTGTGTTTTTCCCCGTTTTTGTGTGGTGCCGTCCTGGCAGCTTCTTTTTCGGCGTTTGTTTGGTGTCGTTTCTTGAGTCCACAAGTTGGCTTTTGACAGCCATCGTGTTTGGGTTTTGTTCTACAATTAACAACACGTGCGTCTAACAAAGCAATGCTTTGGAGTGGTGTCAAAGCGAATGCCTTTTTCACTCTGATCGCTCCTTCTGAAAAGATCACAACGGAAAAACAAGCACCCAAAAAGGATACCCTCAAAGCAAGGGATCGCTCTCTGAAAAAAAAAGAATAAACAAACAAACGCAACAAGGGTACCCTCAAAGGGGATTGTTGGTCTTCTTCCATTTGGTTAAGAATAATTATGTTTTTTTTTCCCCTGTTGGGTTTAAAGGAAATCACTACTGGACATATTTTTTCCAGGGGACTTGAGCAAATGAAGGTCTTGGATGGAGAGATGGGTCTCGGGTGGACTCAGGTGCCCAACATGGAGAAGCAGATCTACGAGAAGCAGCACCAAGCGGTGCGCATCCCTTCCACGCCGGGGACGCCCGGAATTCTGAGGCCAGGTGGTTCTTTGGTTTTTCCTCAAAACAAAGCTGTCCAGGCAGTTTCCTTGGTTTCCCTAAACAAGAACGGTTTACCTTCCAACAACAACCGCACAGTCCAACTATTCACCTTTTGGCCCCCCCCCAAAAAAAAGAAACAAACCAACAATAAAGAACGATTGGGGACCTTTTGGTCCCCCCGACAAATGGGCGTGGCTCAAAATTAAGCAGGAGGGGTTACGCAGGTTTTGGTCCATGTTTCCACTTACCAGGGTTCCATTTTGGTACCGGTTTTTTGAGCCACAGCCAAATGCCAACAATTGGAGTCGACCTGAAAAAAAACTGCGGGGATCGAGGTTGGACCTGGGCCTCGCGTGCCGGGGCCCTGGCGAGCAAACCCTCTACCCGAGCGAGCGGGGTTCGGGTCTGGGGGGGTCTGGGGGGTCCGGGGGTTTCTGGGTGAACCTTGGGGGGTGCGGAAAAATGGGCGGGTAAAAGCCGCCCCCCCACTCTTTGGGGTTTTAAAGGGGAACCGCCGGGAGCATCATTCTTTTCTCTCCTTTTTGTTTTGGGGGGTGCGTCCGCGAAAAAAGAAGAGAGACCCAAATTGGGGCCTCTGCCGTTTTGACCTTCTGGTTTCCCTGAATTGGCACCCACATTTAGAGGTCCAAAAAGGTGCCACCCCTTCCAACTCATTTCGAGAACATCTTAAAATGGAACCAACGCCCTAAGGCCCTACTGCTGAAGTTGTCTCACTCAACACCATGAAGCCCGTCCAGAGACCCCACTGACCATTTTCCTCCAGGCGCCCTCTTTCAGGGTTGAGGGGTGCTTGTACATACTCCTTGTACATACCACTTGTACGTACCCCTTGTAAAGTGGGCTGGAAACTAGGGAAGCCAAGGGGTTCACACCGAGTCCTTGACGAAGTTCAAAAGGGACAGTCACCTTCATTCGCTTAAGAATATAATATATACATATACACATATATATGTATATAATTTCCCTTGTTGGTTTTAAACGGAATTCATCACTACTGGATATATATATATATATATTTATATATATTTCTGGGGCCTTAACCAAATGGGACGGTCAGGGGTTGACACGCCCCTCGCTCAGGCGCCTCCCCTCGCCCGCCTGCGCGGCCTCTGGCGGCAGAGCCCGAACACCCGATGCCGGGTTTTCCATTTTTGTTGTTTTAACTTTGTGGCTCCCAGCCATCCGGTTCCTTAGCTTTTTAGCTTTTTAGCGTTTAGTGGGGGTTTCCATTTGACCCACTAAAGTTAAACTTTTAGCAGGGGATCTGAGGACAGCCCAGTTAAGGGGAGATGCAAGAAACGTTTCCTCTAGGTGAGGTGCCAGTATTTTGACAAGGGGGGGGGATTCAGGTGGGGTGATGTTTAACGGGGGGGATTCAAAGGACTTTTCCTCTGGTTGGGGTGATGAAAGGGGGAATGAAGATACTTTTGGTATTGCTTGAGGCAAGGAAGTCCAAGGAGTATTTCGCAGGTCTTTTGATTGCTTGTTTCGACAAAGGTGGTGGCTTTGAGTTTTCGACTCAAAGAACATTTGAAGGAGCACGGCCCCGATCAAGAGACACCCACTCTTCGACCCGCGCCAATATTCAATAGGAGTGTGTTTCGCATATACCCCAAGAATGGCTGGTTTTCCCATAAAGAACCCAACAAGGGTGCCCTCAAAAACGGGGGCACATGCGCATTGATCAAGTCTAGCTTTAGGGTCGCGACCCTCGGACTGAAGCAACTGGAAGTCCAGGTTGCCTGTGAACAGGTTGCTCCAAGCATTTTCTTCCTTGGCCTTGAAGGCAGCTTCCTTTTCTTTGGTGCATGTTGCTTGGATGTTAGAACTTTAACTTTTTGCCAACTAATGGGTTTTCCGTATTAAGCCACTAAAAGTTGGTCACTTTTCGCAGGGCCTCGCAGAAAGCCTTACCGAGTTTGCAGCTTCCTTTCGATCCCACGTGCCTGTCGCCGATCTTCCTGAATTTTCGGATCGGGAAGCAGGCGAAGGGAGGCCTGGGCAAAGGCTCGCACTGGACGCCTGGAAGCTGCGTTGTTTTGTTCTTTTCCTTTAAAAAAAAAAGCCTTTTTTCTTGTTTCTTTTTTCTCTTCTTGTTTTCCCCGGAACTTCTCGGCCTGGTTTCGTCTGGCAAGTTAAGGGGTACTAGTTCAACAAAAAAAGCAACGGTCAAAAGGTGTTTTTTTGGTTTGGTAGTGGAAGCGCAGGGTCCCCTTTAGCTGCTGCACCCCCCCAAACCACAGCTGTTGACAGGTGGGATGTTGGATATCAGGAAAAGCAGTTGGGGACCCGCGCTCAGCTTTTGCCCTGCAGCCGTTTTTGCCGTGGATTGGTCAACCCGTCAAATCATGAGCGGGGCGGGGGCCCTTAAAGTGACGAGCTTTCACCCAAAATCAACCTGGGGTTCTGCTTCATCCGGGGTTGACATCGGACGTGCGTTTTCCTTTCATTGGCTTCTTGTTTGGACAAAGAAATCTTGACTGCTGTTGGGTTGGATCTTTAAACTTTAACTTTTTGGGAAATAAAGGTGTGTTCCACTAAACCCCCAAAAAGTTTAACTTTTGCAGAGGGGTCAACAGCAACCAAGAAATGCACTCCAACAAAACCATGCTCATGCATAGGGGTTGGTTTGGTTAGAAATAGATGCCATGTACGAGGGAACCTGTCTACGTCAACTTCATGCGAGTGGTATTTGTTGGCAACTTCCTAAGGTCGCCCAGCCGCGTGAGCCCCGGGTCGCCCGTGGCGCGCCCAGTTGCTAGCCGCTGCTAGCCTCCTCGGATTTGCGGGTTTTGTTGGTTGCCGGTCGCCCGGGCAGAACCTGCCTCGCATTTGCTGCCGTTTTTCAGTATCTTCAACCCGTTTTTTTTTTTTTTTTTTTTTTTTTTTAATAAGCTTGGTGGTTTCAAGCCGTCTGGTTCCTTGGGTTGTTTTAGCTTTGTAGGGAGTTTGGTGGGGTTTTTGAATTCAACCCGCTCAAACTTAAACTTTTGGCAGGGGATCTGAGGACAGCCCAGTTGGAACAGACGACGTGACACGATCAAAATGCAGCAGAAGGAAGCAACATGGGCACTGAACGGCGACCATGTGTGGTGGATCGTCTTTTGGGAGGCTTAGCGGCCTTGGTGGATTCTTTCAAAGGGCAAGCAACAGGACACAGACATCCCTTTCCTGGGGTGCAAGTCCTTTTTTGAGAGACACCCACAAGGGAATCAGTGTTTCACCTAGCAATACCAAAGGCCGTGGACATGTCAGATCCGGAACCTTGTTTTGGGAGAAGTTTTCTGAGAACAATTCTGGAGAGTTTGTGCGGGTCCTCCTGTCCTGACCGCACCTATGGCTCCGTCTGTGTGATTCCGGATTCCCTCTCAAACCGTCAAGAGCTCCGTGCGCCTGATCAAAACCAGCTCAGCGGGCGAATCTTCGCTGATGTCTTGGGGACCCACCATGTCTTTGCCGCCCAAATTGTAAACCCCCCCAACCAGATTAGCCACCCAACTTAAATACTCCCCCCCCCAAAAAAGGGCCCTTGGTCCTTTTTTCCCCTATGGCTGTGGGTCAAAAATATGTACCCAAAATGGGTTGCCCGTTCGGTAAATGGAAACTTGGACGACAACCTGCGGTCCGATTCCTGGTGTTGTTTTTTTGACCCACACCCAGCTATCACGATTGGGGAAATTGTTGTTGGCACCCGAGAGCCGGCCCTTGACAGGATGAAGGCGGTGTCCGGGTATTCTCCTGAAGGGCGGTCAAGCGTCGTTTTTTTTTTTCCCCCTTCTCTCTTTATCCTGGGCTGTCCAAATTGTTTTTGTTTTTTGTTTTTGTTTTCCTTTAAAGACACCAAAGGGGGTTGTCCTTGAAAGAAGCTACCCCTTCTTGTTTCTTCCTCTGGAAGTTTTGGCTTTGAGGCACCTTCCCAGGTGGCAATGAATGGATCCCAGAAAGGAAGGGGGTGGTTCAGAGACGGTCCCCCAGAGCCAAGAACCGAATGGTGGGTTTGTCTCAAACGCCTGGAGTGGTTTCTTGTTGCCCAAAGGTACCCACCAGAGAACACAAGGTACCCAACTCAAAAACATAGAAATGCTAAAGTGGTGGTCCCTTTGGCCTTTTTGCAGACAAACCACTCAGAAACCAGACACAAACCACTCGAACACAGACAACACTTTGAACACGCCAACCAAGCAGCCAAGCCACCAACCAAGCCACCAACCAACCAACCAACCAAACAAGCAACCAAACAAGCAACCAAACAAGCAACCAACCAACCAAACAACCAAGCAACGAAACAAGCAAACCAACCAACCAACCCACCCCCTTCCCTTCCCTTCCCTTCCCTTGGAAAACTCGCCGCCGCCGGTTTTTTTTTCTTCCCCCGACGGCTTTTTCCCCCGACGTCTCGCCCCCGCGCGCTCGAAGGCCGGGCCCAGCTATCGGCTCCGCGCGGTGGTGGCCCACGACGGGCCGTCGCCGAGGCCGTCGGCGGGGCTTCGGTCGGCTTCGGCCGGTGGGGTGTTCGGTGGGGGTGGGGTTGGGGTGGGTGGGGTGGGGGTGGGGTTGGGGGGGGTGGGGTAGGGGTGGGGTTGGGGGTGGGGTTGAAGCTCAACTGGCTGTGGTCAAAACCCAGGAAACCCTGGTGATCGTCAAAATAGGGGTCAAATGGATGTTCGTCCACCTCAAAATGGAGCCATAGGTTATGTATGCCCCATGGCCAACTGCCTAACTTGGTTCATGGAACTTAGCTTCTTTGGATGGTTTGGGGTTTGGAGCCCAGTGGTTTGTATTACCCTTCCACCAACTAACATGGAAGTGCAGAACGGCCAACAGACCAAGAGGAAAGTATTTTCTTTCTACGGGGGTTTGTGCACAAACCCATGTTAGCTGGTGGGAGGGTAACTTGGTTCGGGGAACTTAGCGAATTGGTGGTTTGGAGCCCAGTGGATTTGGATTTGAAGCCCAGTACCTATTGAAACCCACCCCCGATCCCAACCACCAAACCACGAATTAGAAGGAAGCTGATTGGTGGCTCCTAGGTTTAGCCGGTTCAACTTGGCATTTTGGTGTTTTGTTTTTGCTTGTTTTAGTGGTAGTTTCGCATGTATCCCACTAAAAGTCACAAGCAACTCTTAGCGGGGATCTGCCAACAACCCAGCCCAGAGCGGTTGGGGAAGGCAACAACAGCTGCCTCAGCCGGACTGCTCAAAGGTAATCCTTAAGATCCTTACCCAAGGGGTTGCGCAAAGATCACCGGTCCCTTTGGTAGTGGCTAACCCGCTTATTATGGGTTAGGATTGGCCAACACGAACCATCTGAAACAGCCCAGCTAGGCTATTTAAGCCAACTTTTTAGGCCCTCCTTGTTGTTCATGTTCTTTTCTTCGGAGACTGAGACATGGGCAGGGGTTTGAACTTGCAACTCACAACCGTTGTGTAGTGGGTTTTGCAAAGTCACTCTTTGGTCCTTTTGCCAGGTGGTGGCTTCTTCGTGGTATCCTTCCATGGGTTACTAGAGGAACATGCAAACCTTGTTCTTGCAGGGGAGCACTTGGTGTTTTGGGGGTGGCACACACACATGATACTGTGCATGGATGAAATTCTGCACCACCTAAGAAACGCGGGAATGATTCGGTTTCCCATGGTTTCTTAGGTGGTGCGAAATGGATTTCGTCCATCCACAGTATGAGAATAACATGTTTGTGATTTCAAAAAGGGAACTTACAGAAGTCGTGCTGGACATAGATCCCCCACATGTCCACCCAAAGGTCCCCAATTCGAATTCATACCGAGGGGCGGCTCCCAAGGCTGCAGAACGAGGGGAGATCGTCTAAGCGGGTGGCTTGCCTCCAAATAACCACCCATGTAAACCCTTGCAACATCTTGTAACTACTGTGGATGGTTGCGAAATCCATTTCGCACCACCTGAGAAACCCTGGTTTCTGATGATTCCTTTGTAAATACCGACCAACCATGGTTTGCACATGGTTTCAAAGTGGTGCAGGATTTCGTCCATCGCGAGGTTCTCACCAAAATCCACAATGAAATTGGGCACAGCCTGCATATTGACCGCGGTTCATATTCGCCACGGTCAAAACATTCCATGGCACTTGAAGTTGGTAGGCCCTCAAAAGGCAAACAACCTTGAATACGATCCTGGTAAGGAAACCATGACCACGACCTGCAGATTTGGAAGCAAGAACAACAACTGATAGATAGATAGTTTTGATTTGATTAGATTAGATTAGATTACATTAGATTGGATAGATATAGCTGGATGGATGGATGGAACACATCTTAATATTGACACTCCACACATGTTCAGATACAATTGAGACATACATCATGTCGACCTCGAACGGCTCCCACCTTGACGAATCGAAATCATGCATGTGGAAAAAGGGGGACTGCACAACCAGGGCTTATTATTATTATTTCCCTACCACGAATTAAGGGGGTCCTGGAAGACCATTCACCTTCTAAAGGGACCGGGTCCCGAACGTCAGGTTCCATGTCAATTGGTGGTGGGGTATTATGCTTTAAATTCTTCGGTTCCTATTACTTCCAAGCAGGGTTTTCGGCATGCGTTCAAGAACAAGCAACCCCGATTCGGTGGCCTTTGAGGAGTTTGCCAAAATCAATCATGGCGACCCCTGATTTACCCTCCCACAAATTAAGCTGGGCTGCCCTCAGATCCCTGCTAAAAGTTTAACCAACCATGCCGACGCCAAAACAGGGCTGGGCCAAGCCCCACCTGGATTGCCAAGTTGCAATTGGTTTCTTGAAGTTGGTTGTCTCCATGTGGGTATGTGCAGGGGATCCCAGAATTCGTGGCTTTCCTTTTGGTTTGCCTTCAACACCCACCCAAAAGGGTACCGAGCCTCAAAACACGACGAGCCACCCATCGTGTTCCAAACACTCGCCTAGAAACAGCAATGCTTGGGTGACAAACCAACGCAACTAGTGATCCAGGCTGTTTCCAGATCTGGAGAATCATACTGTGGATGGTTGCGAAATCCAGTTCGCACCAAGACACCCTGGCATGATTCGTTTTCCCCTGTAAGTTACCACCAAACAGTGGTTTCCATAGGTGTCCTTTTTGGTTGGTTTGGCTAAAAAATGGAGGGTCCTGGTTTACCTTCTGGTTCAATTATCTACCAGTGCCATCTATTTTCCAAAAAGGACACTTATGTTGGCTTCCCTATGGTTTCTATGCTTGCGAAACGGACTGCGCAACCCTCCACTGGGGTCTGGGTATCCGGAATGGCCCGCCCTTCCGTGGGCAGGGCGGGGCACTATGTGTGCTACTCCTGCTCCGCCACCGGCGAGTGGTCTTTGTACGACGACTCCCGGGTCAAGCGGCTTCCGGTGGGCGAGGCGACCGGGGGATCGAGGGGGTTCGAGCGGTGTAACGGCAAAGGGCACCTGCCTTCCGTTGCTTACTATTTCTCTTTTCTCCGGGTGGTTTTCAGAGCGAATCTATCACTGCTGGAAATCTAATTTTTCCAGGGGGCGAACAAGCAAATGGAAGTGCAGCCTTTCTGCCATGCAACTTTGCAATCGATCCTCATGCCGAGACGCACCAAAAGCGCCATGTCAAGCCTACGCGCAGGTTTCTGGGGAGAAACTCGCTGGAAATACTCTTTGGGCTTTTGTTTCCCGTGGCTCGCTGGCAAAGTGGCGGTTTTGACGGCTTTGATCTGAACCAGGATGCCGTTTCTTGGTCTCACTTGCCCAACGCACATCGACCTAAATGACCTTTTGGTCTCCTGATTTGGTCCATTAGTTCAGGCTCGAACAGATTAATGTTTTTCAAATCCTTTGGGCAACTTGGTACCATGTTTTCTTTTCTTTTTGTTGGGTGGGGGGGGGGGTGAGAGCCCCTGAAACATGGATTTTGTGTGGAAATTCGGGTCGCCTTGTTTTTGAGACCCCAACAAGCTAGTCGCTCCCAGCCGTTTCCGTGAGGAGCCCTGGAGCGAGGTGGGCATCAAGGCGTATATGCTGCCAGCGGCCCAGGAATCCCATGCAGAGCTTGGCCTCTGCGAGTGGGGGGGGGGGGGGTGGGATTCCCCACCAAAAGGGGACATCCCCATAGGGGGAAGGGCAACCCCACGGAAAGAGGAGATGTCCCCAGGTTTTTTTCCACCAGTTTTTTTGTTTATTCATCCAAATTTGCTTGTCGGCTTAGATCTTTAGATCTTGAACGGTTCTTACGGAGACAGCTATGAGTTTCCCACGAACCAGACAACAGTTAAACGCTTGGGGCAGGGGGCAAACACTACAAAGTTTGGGTTGACCGTTATTGTTCTTTATGTAGTGGGACGTTGACCCTACCAAAGACCGGGTCAGGAGAAATCAATCATTGTGCATATTATTCTTTTTTCTTTGAATCGGTGTGGGCAAAGAACAATGTCTTGGTTGAAGATTGTTAGTTAGTTAGCCTTCGCATGGCCTTTTTGTTTTGTTTTGTTTTGTTTTCCGTTTTTGGACAACCAATATCTTGGTGCGAGCTTGTTAAATAATTCAATTTCCGTTTTTGAACAAGCAGCCTTTATGTTGCAACTTGTTGTAGCCCACTGACGAGGAACTTCATTGACGGGACACGTCTGTTTTGAGGAGATGGTTAGAAAGGGAATTGAATTGTGCAAAAGAAGCAATGGGGGCTATGTCGCTAAGGGCTTGCGTCCTTGGCTTATCCTAGGCTTATCCAGTGATAGCTTTTACCCATAGCCCCCCAGAAGTCCGTGATGGTTAAAGCGCCTTGCCCCACGCGCCGAGGTTTTATGTGTTGTGCAAGGACGAGAGTGACCTTGCGAGCTGACTCTCGCGAATGAGTGGGGGCACGTGGGATACGTGCATGGTTTGCATTTGTACAGACAACAGCCCCGGGCGGGCGGCGTGTGCACAGGGCACGTGAACGGCTGGTGGACTCACGATGCCCCTTTTTGGGCTGGCCAGGGCAACCGCTTCATTGGATCAATCTTTTGCTTGACACACAAACGGAATATTGACCCCCCTCCCTTCTGCTTTTAGACATGGTTGATCCCAACCGATTTTGTTGCCCATGGTTCTTTTGAGGAACCACTAAGCTTCCATCGGGTTTTCGGGCATTTCTGAAAAAAAGGCTCCCCGGGAGCAATCCTGTTAGCAAGAAACGGATCAAACCGAATATTCAGAAGATCAAAAGCACATGATTTAGGTTGGCAGATTTCATTCTTCCCTTGGTCTTCCAGTCTCCTCTGCTCGTCTCTTCTGCTGGTCTCCCGGTCTGCGGGTCTCATCAGTGGCTCCCTGACCGTTTGGTCTCCGGCGGGTCTCCGGGTCTGCAACCAATCGCTACGTGTTCACTGCACGGAGGAAGCGCGGAGTGGGTGTGCTTATGATTTGGGCGTTGGACAAAAACCGTTTGGCCTCAAAAAGCTGTTTCAGCAAGAAGCAAACGTTTCCAGAATCCGCCTGTGTTTGCTTGTAGTCTTGTACTCTCTTAGCCCTCTTAACCCTTAGGTTGATTGGTCCCTTGGTCGGTCCCTTGGTGCTTTGGTCCCCTCGTCCCTTGGTCCTTTGGTGCCCTGGCCTTTTTTTGCATTAGTTAGTGCAGCGTGGTATTGCAACTGATCCTTCTGACCTTGAGACATTTACAATTGTTCGAGCCTTCTTTGCTTCACATTTCCACTTTTTACGCATGAAGCCAACCCTAAGCCAACCCTAAACCAACCCTAAACCAGCTCTGAACAATCTCGCCCGAAACATCATACACCCACCAACACTAAACCGGCCCTAAACCAACCCACCAGCAGGCTTCTTGATCTCGCTGAGCTCAGCGCAGGGAGATCTGCCTGCACTCTGGCCCAGCACCTGAGCCAGAAGCGTCAGCCAGCGCAAGCGTCAAATGCGGATCCTGGAAGCTGAGCCGCACGCTGGACGTGTCAGCGTTTGAGCCAGTGGAAGCGCCAGAAGCGTCTGAGCCAGAAGCGTCATAAGTATCTGAGCGCTTCTGAGGCTTCCGCTCGCTCAGTCAGGCACTTCTGACGCTTTTGGCTTACGCTTCTGACGCACGCTTCCGCTGGCTCAGGCGCTTCTGACGCTTCCAGCTTGCACTGGGCTCAGACGCCTCTGCTGCTTCCACTGGCTCACATGCTTCTGACGCTTCCAACTTACGCTGGCTCAGACGCTTCCGACGCTTCCCCTCTCAGACGCTTCTGACGCTTCCAGCTTGCGCTGGCTCAGACGCCTTTGACACTTCCACCGGCTCAGACGCTGCGCTTCCAGCTTGCGCTATTGGCTCAGGCGTCTGAGCCAGCGCAAGCTGGAAGCGTCAGAACAGCGCCAGTGGAAGCGTCAGAAGCGCTAAGCCGGTGGAAGCGTCAGAAGCGTTTGAGCCAGCACAGGCTGGACGCGTCGCAAGGCGTCTCCTGTAGTTTTTCCGCATTCGGAGCCCTGCTTCTTTTCAACCTTTTAAGGCAATCGGCCTTTTTGTCCACGTGAGCCGAGACCCTCAGTTTCTCAGCGGCGATTATGCCGAGCCACGTGGTTAAGCGAGAGACAACGGGACGTTTGGGTGTCCATGCTTTGATTGAGCTTTGCGCCAGTCAACTTTATTAAAGGCAACCAGATGCTCCAGAAAACTAGGTCCTCCAGTAGTGCCCTGTTACCCTGTTTTGGGGGAGGGTTCCCCTACTAAAATAGACTACCGAAAAAAGGGTACCCTTATTCTAACCTCTCTACTGGAGGACTTAGAAAAGGAGCCCGCCTCATAATGGCTTGAATCAGTATATGGGTGTGGCTCAAAAACTGAAGAACCGGGGTGGCGCAGGTTTTAGTCTTTGGTTCCATTTGCCAAGGTGCCAGTTGGGTGTGGCTCAAGATTAGGAGGGGCAAACCGCAGGTTTTGGTCCATGTTTCCACTTGCTAGGGTTCCATTGTTTTTTGAACCACAGCCATTTTGGTACATGTTTTGGACCCACAGTAATATGAGGCTGAGGAGCTCATCCCTTGTCATTCTCATCGGGCCTGGGGCTGTCGCTAGGCATGGGTTGGGGTCACCCCATGCAAAGGGTGGCCAGTTGCTAGTGCGAAAAGGAAGGGGAGCGCGGGCAACATGACTCTACTGCTATTGAGTTGGATCTTTAGACTTTAACTTTTTGGATTCCCCACATCTTTCCTTCTAACCAGCAAGAAGTTTAACTTTTTGCTGGGGGATCTACAGCACCCAAGAGAGGTCTCAGCTTTCGGGGAAGGTTCCGGAGGGGTGAGGAGAAAATTGCGGCTGGACGTGGGGCCCGCTTTGGACGGTTCATGTGAGCCAACTGGGCCCCGCTGGGCTTCAATGGATTCGCAACTAGGTCCCCCAGTAGTGCCCTTCTCTCCCCTTTTTTTGGGGAGGGGTTCCCCTACTAAAATAGACCACAGAAAAAAGGGTACCCTTATTCGAACCTCTCTACTCAAAAGACCTAGCTTCTTTTGAGGTTGGGAAACCAAAAGGGTTTCCATGTAGGGCTTCCCCAATTTTGACACACACACACACACCCAGAACAGTTCCTTTAAATTTAACCAATTCCGGAGAGCTAATACTCAGTTGTCCAAAGCCGACCTTTTGACCTTTTGGTTTTCCCATGTTGGGTTCCTATTTTTAGTAGAGGTGCCAAAAGGTGATCACCTTTTAGTTCTGGGTCCAACTTGGGCAACTGAGAATATGAAATCGGCCGCTGAAAAGGTGACCTTTGAGTCGTGCCGCCGAAGGGGATCCGATCCTTTGGCTCCCAAGAGGCTTGGGGCGACGGGCGACTGGACCTTTCTTGATATAAACTTGGCGTGTGGCTGTTGAGGCGGAAGCCAACTGTTGCAAGTTGGTTTAAAGGGAAATCCCAAAAAACACCAGTTGGTTGGGGAAATCCATCAAAAAGAAGCACCACCAGAAAAAAGGAAGGACCCCCCCAATTTTGGACAATGACACAGACTCATAGATTAGCTTTGAAATGCAGTGATCTTGTTGCTAGGCCTGGTGTGTCAATGGGTTCGTCTTCGATGTTGTGGGATCAACTCCCACCCCATGAACTTTGGTGCGAAAGCTTCAGTGAAACCTGCGAGCCGCGAGCCGGAGACTGAGTGACTGGCTCAAGGGGTCAAGGCTAAGCTTGGACCTTCGAAGGAAACCGGCTGGTCAGTTGCCATTTCTAGACATGGCATTCAGTCACAGATCGCCGAATACCCCCAAAAACCAGCGAATCTGACATGTTGGGTAGAGCTCCACTCACAGATCTATTTCTTTTTAACCCTTGGCGTGAATTATATTCAGCGCCAGCGCAAAACCACAGACACCACAAAGACGCGGAGACCCTGGCAGCCCGGTATTTTTTCCCCAAGGACAACTTCCAGACGCGCACGGAAGGCGTGGTTTTTCGGTTCCGCCGATGGCGTTGGCTCGGCTCTTGGCCTGCCTTGCGCAAGGGAGCCCAGGAGCCAAGGAGCCCAGGGCGGAGTGTCAAAGGTGGCCAGACTGTTGGGTAAGCAGCCTGTTTGATCAGGGCTCCTTAAAAGAAATTCATTTTGCAACCATTTGAAACATGTTGTTTTTTCCGCCAAGATAAAGGGAAACCTCCATTTACAAGGCAATGATCAGGTGTATACTGTAAGGATCCCTGCTTGATTCAAGCGGAAGCGGGGTGAGGCTTGGCGGTGAAATTGGTTGGAGCAAAGAAAGCATGGCCGGCTTTGGCAAGCTGCAAGATGATTGAATGGCGGGTGTAAACAATTGTTTGCTGTCTGTCGCCTCCCCCCCCCAACAAAAAAGAAGAAGAGAAAAAACACTGGAAATTCCGGAAATTGGACATACCCTATGAACGATTCATCCAACCCACCTGGGGGAGGCCTTTGGCAGGGACATGGACCATAAACTACGGGACATTTTGACAGAACCTCGTATTGTGTGTGTGTGTGTGGGTCAACACAATGGCGCCAATTTGAAAGGATGCGTTTTGTTTGAAAAGGAACCAAGACGAAAGCATGTGAAAGATTACTCTTTGACCACCATGTTTATATGAGTCAGAGCCATAGCCAGGGAGCCATTGCAACCTTCTGGTAACTTGTAGCTTGCTTAACATTTCTTATTTCCCAGGTTGGTTTTAAAGATCATCTATCACTGCTGGACACATTGTTATTTTTTCCCCCAACAGCTGACAGCTTTGGGGTCTCAGCCCAGATAGGCTCCGGGCTGGTCCGGGGCGGCCCTGAGGTAAGGTTCCACGAGGGTTCCACGAGGGTTCCACGAGGTTGTGCGAGCAGTAAAAAGAGCACCGCATGCTGTTGGGGATATCACCTGAGCTTTTCTTTTTTCTCCCAGCGGAACTGGCCAGTCCCCACTCTTCTCAAAATGGGACTCTCTCCGTGGGTTCAAAACAAGACTCTTGGTGGTTTCCAGGCGTCCGGTTCCTTAGGTTTTCAGCTTTTTAGTTGGTTTAGTGGTTGGGTTTCCGTATGTTTCCGTATTTGACCCACAAGTGATTCACTTTTAGCAGGGGATCAGGTGGGACCCAGGACTCATTTGACCATAATGTGAAGGTACTGCGGATGGTTTCGCGAAATCCGCTTCTTGGGATTTCCACTTTGGTTTCCAGGGGAAGTCTCACATTTTTAGGGTATTTTTCAGGGCGAATCGATGTGGACTCATTTTTGCTTTGGGTTTCTGACGCCCAGACGTGTCCCCAGATGGGTCCCGGCGCGCCGCCGCCGTCAAAGCGTTCCGCGTCGAGGTGGGGCTGCCTGGCGCATTACCACGGCACCTGCGGGTCTGACGAGGTGGCCGCGGCCCCAGTGGCCCAAAGGCGGAGCCGAGAGAGATTTGGCGAGGGGGGCCGTTTTTTTCAGGGGAGTGGGGGGGACCCCCAAAAAAACAACCGCCAAAACAAAAGGGGATTCCGCCCCCCAAGGCGGGGATCTTCTTTGGCGTTCTGGCGCGCGTTTTGCCGGGAGTCGGGGATTCCCGAACCCCCCCTGGACGTTTTGCTTGGAGTGGGTGACCCCCCAAAATAGGTTTTTTTTTTGAGCTGAGAGATTTGGACCAGGGACATGGACAGCCACAAAGGACGTTTTATTTTCTTCTTCCTTTTTCCCTTTTCAACACACTCAGCTTCCCAGGTTTGGGGTTGTCTCTTGTCATTGTTTGCTTCAGATCCTGCTGTTCAAACAGAAAGTTTGGTTGTTATCCACCTAGCAAGTGAGGCAAGGGGAGGTCGCCAAGAAGGAGATGCCTCTACAAATGTTTTTCTTGGTTTCTGTGTTAGCCTCTGGCGTAAGACCAATTTGGCTGGGAGGATTCATCAAGCCCTGCGCATTGATGTGGTGTGTCCCAGGCATTCATTGATGTGGACAGCCGCCAAAATCCGCCGGGGGATCATTGGTCTCGAAGGTTAATGTTGACCCAGGATTAATAAACCTGTCCAACTATTACTTTGGTGCATTTTGCTTGGCTGTTAGGACCGTATCTTTTTGCCAACTAATGGGTTTTCCACTAAACCGCTAACAGTTAAACTTTTAGCAGGGGAGCAGAAAGCAACCGAGATTAGGGGGGTGTTCCCTCCAAAGTGGTCTGAATCCAACCAACCACTACAAGGAATTGGACACCCCCCGATCAAAATCAACCAGGGGTGATGAATCCCCACTAAAAGGGGACACACTAAAGGGAATTGGAGCACCCCCCGACCCGATCAAAATCAACCAGGGGTGATGAATCCCCACTAAAAGGGGACCCCCCTATTAATCAACCAGGAGTGATGAATCCAACCGCTAAAAGAAAAAGGGGACACCCCCCGATCAAAAGCTACCAGGGGTTCTACTTAGATCCGGGGTTAACATTAGTTCCCAGTATCTTGGCTTTTGGGAAACAGCACGATGACTTTGGAGCTAAGGGGTCAGCCGCATAGGTGAGCCTTTTGGTGGGGACTTATTCATAGGGGAGAGATCTCGCGGGCCTCCGCATTTAATCCGATGCTGGTTGGTGGACATCAATCCCCGTGAAGATGCCCAATGATGCTGTTTTGAAAGATGATGCCCATAAATCCCCATGGGCTCCCCATTTTCTGTGTTGGGAAACTCAACGGAATACATACAACATTCAGGGAACCTACCGTATGAGCCCCCTGCTCCGTTGTTTAGAGCTCCAACTCGTTCCCCTATATGCTGTTTCACATTCAGGTCCCTGGCACATATGAAGAATCTGAGCTTAAAGTAGTTGGATCCTTCCAAGGCCTGCCAATTTGGCGAGCTTCGGGTAAAACTGTAGCTCACCATGTTGCATTGTGAATCATTGTGAACATTTTCAGATGGCTGGATGCGATCAACAAGTGACAACCAACTCGCCCACATACCAGCCTCTCACCATGAAGACTCCTTTCATCGGGGCCTCCAAGGTATGCTCGGTTTCGGTATCGGGAAGGTCCTTCAATTTACGGTGTTCCCTATTTGGGTTATACGGATGAGTCCTTTTCGGAGGGAGGGAACCCGGGTACGTGGATGCCTTAAACGGAACGCCGTTCTTGCCATAGGTTCGCTATGGTTCGGCAAACTTTGGGGACATGGTTGTGGTAGGGACACATGTTGCATTTTTGCTTATTGTGGTTTTAGTGGTTGACATCCCCACTAAACTGTTTTTTTTCATTTTTGCTCCCCAGACCCAACGTCAAGCAAGTAAACGGGAAAGCCGTTCAATCCCCTCGCCCCGATTTCGGCAAAGGCTGGAGAGATCCAGGGCGAGGATGGAGTGGCCGGGAGCTCGAAGGATTCGGCCTTGGGCCTTTTTGGGGACTTCGTGGGCCGACCTGTTGGCCAGAGGGGATGGAGTTGAGTAGGTGGGTGTGGCTCAAAACTCAAGAGCTAGGGCAAACCGCAGGTTTTGATCCATGTTTCCACTTACCAGGGCAAGCCTTTTTGGAATTCCGGTTTTTTGACCCAGAGCCAGGTGCAACCCATTAAAAAGAACAGAACAGGTGAGTGTGTTGGAGTGCATTTTTCTTGGCTGTTTGTTTGACCACATTTGGAAGACTGTTCGCGGGGCATGGTCGTGGGTTTATCCGCCACTTCTGAGCTGCTGATCCACCGCTTGGCGGGGTATGTTCCAAGAGGCCCTGTCTTGCATGAACTTCTTCTTCGGATTTCCCATTTGGCAGTGGCTCAAAATTAAAGGGCTAGGGCAAACCGCAGGTTTTGGTCAATGTTTCCACTTACCAGGGCAAGCCATTTTGGTATTCCGGTTTTTTGAGGCATACTCATTTGAGACTCATTTGGGTATGAGTCAAAATGGAAACGACCAGAGGAGCGCAGGTTTTAGTCCTTGTTTCCATTTACCAGTTCAACCCATGTTGGGTGCCGTTTTTGACCCACACCCATCTCAGCCAGGTCCCCCAGCTACGTGCCAGCTTTTACCGTTTCTTTTTTGGTTGGGAGATTCGGTTCCCCCAAAATAGGCAAAGCTGAAAAAAGTTCGGGTACCAACTTCTTCTAACCTCTCAAATCTGGAGGACCTAGCCATTGGGTGCCGTTTTTGGCCCACACCCATTTCAGTTTCCTCGCGCTTGGGAAGCTCGACATTGGACCCCCTGGCTCGAGGTCTGCGCGCCCAAGTGCAGCGCGCAGTACGAGTGCCCTGTGGAGACCACCGTGGGCGTGTCGGCGGGGATGCCGAAAATGGTCGTTTTCCCTGAGCTCCGGATCTCGGACGGAGTCGTGTGTGTGGTTTGGTGGGTTTGGTGGTTATGTTAAAGTGGTCACAAAAAGTTCGAACTCTTGTGGTTTTTTGGGTTTGGTCAAATTTTAGTGGCAACAAGTTGGTTACCTTTTGCCTGGGACAAATGGAGTTTTCCGGAACTCGGACTCTTGTGTCGCTTTTTTTTGGGGTTTGGTTGCCATTTTAACCAAAAAGTTTTCGGCAGGAAGTGAGCCTTGTTCAAGTATTCTTCAAGCACCCCAGAAACCCCCGAAGGAAACACCCGCTATCCTTTGGAGCGGTTTAGGAGTGCCCAGCCTTCTTTCAAGGTAGACCCGTGAAGGGCTTTTTGTGGCAGCCTTTGTCCGATTTTTCCTGGGCTGTTCAAATGTAATGTCGCAAGACCCTTACTCAAGGGGTCCTTCACATTCCGCTTTTTCAACGCATGAAAAGCATGTTCTTCGAGGACGCTCGATTTTGTTTCGGGGAGATTGTGAGTGGGGAAGGGTTGTTGGTGACTGAATGTGAGCATTGACCTTCAGAAGAGTTCAACCTTTCTTTCTCCATCGGAAACGTGCAGTCTCGGTCTACTTAAAAGTGCAGGTTTACTCTTGAAGGTTTGGTCCCCGGGCAGAGTTCAAGAGGACCCCCTGAAGGGTTTCCCTTCAACCAACAACCACGGGCTCATCATTTGGATCGATCCCATCATACGTTTTGGTTGGGGTTTGATCACTATTCCTGGCTTTCAAATGACCAAGGGTAGCTTCTTCCCATGTGGGACACATTGTATCGTTCTAGCGGCAGGGCTCCTTGAAAGATACATTTTGCCCATTTGAAACATGGCTTTTTGCACCCAAATACAGGGACACCACCATTAACCAGGCTCCCGCCTGCTGCCGCCGACCCTCGGCGCATTAAGGGAAAAGTCATAAGGGCCGGTCCTGAAACACGGGTGCCAGTCCGCCAACCCAGGGACCACTTATAAGATCCTCTACTACCACAAGGATTAACGGAACAGTCAGAAAGATGGCAGCTAGTCCGTTAAGTACCGCTTGGGCCGGTTTGCGCCCAAGTCACTTCGAGTTGGCCCGGGAGCGGTCGCCTCTCCCGTCGTCCTGAAACTGGCCCTCCCGAAGTTGCCCTGGAGCGGTCGCCGGGGACCGGGACTTGGAAGCTATTTCTCTTTTATCATCTCTTGCCTCTATCTGTGACCGAAGGAGTGAGGCAAGAAGAGAAATAGATATCCCGCCGGGCATTAATTCCTTTCACGGGCTTCTCTTATCTATTTCTTTCCCTTTTGGATGCTGTGGAAGCCGTGTAAAGACTTGTAAAGAAGAGAAAAGAGCTTCCACAGAATGCATCCAAATGATTCCCTTTATCCCATGTCCTGTCCATGAAGTCACTAACTTACAGGACCTGGGGATAAGGGAAGATGGAATGAATGACACAGGAATGAATGGAATGGTCCTTCCCTTCCACCTCTCTTCATTCTCGCGAACTCGTCTGTTCAGGAGGTGTAACGGAGTGGATTAGAGAAATGATTTCTTCCGTGTCTCGCGAGTCGACCTGTCCATGGCGCGGTTTGAATCGACGAATTGGACTCTCTTGCAGAATAGATCCAGGGATCCTCTACTACCACAAGGATTAACGGAAAAGTCAGAAAGATGGCAGCTCGTCCGTTAATTACGGCACGGGCCGGTTTGCGCCCAAGTCACGTCGAGTTGGCCCGAGTGGTCCTAGAAACAAGGCCGTCGGTGCCCTCGACCGGTCGCAGGCACGGACCGGGACTTGGGACCCTGTCCGCTCCTGAAACACGGGTGCCAGTCCGGAAACAGCGACATTGGAGGAAACAGGTGTCTGGAGCGGTTTGAGGTGGCACCAGGACTGGCAGAGTCCTGTTCGAACCAACATAGCGGAGGAAATTGAAGTGGGATACCGGCGCGGTTGCGATCCTGGGACCGGTCCTCGGACCGGTCCTGAAAGCGGTCCTGGCCGGGACCGGTCCTGGGACCGGTCCCTGGATCCCAGGACCGGGTCTCAGGACCGGTTTTGGTTGACCACAAGCAATCCGAAGCACCAGAACCAGGGTCCAGGACCAGTCCCACAGGACTGGTCCCAGGACTGGTCCCAGGACCGGTCCTGGGACCGGTCCCGGGACTTTGAGAATCCGCTTTTTGTGCTTTCGGGCGTGTTAACCAGGGACCAAAAATTTATTCATCATGGATTCCAATCACTTCATTCCAGTTGTAGCGCTATTCCCAATGGTCATCCCATGTTCATCGGGCCTTTTGATCAACCAATCCGAAGAAACGGGACCGCCAATGTCAAGCAAGCAGGCGCAGCCGCAGTGCATGCTGCAGAACGTAGATCAGGCCCCGAAGCGAAGATCGAGTGGAATTTTGTTTGGTTTCGAGTGAGTTCCCAGTTGGTTCAACCAGCGAATCGTCCGGTTCAATTTCGGTTTGAGCCTTTGGTTGGTTTGGTAGGTGCTTGGTTTGGGATACTTCCGTTTGCTTAAGAATGCTCTAGGAGGAACTTCCTTGCTAGGGATCCTTCTTTCCAAAAATCCACGGAAGCCTCAGGAAAACGGTTGAGCAGAATGATGGTTGGTTCCTTTGCGAATTGTCCGGTTCAACTTAGGTTTAGCTTTTCAGGTGGTTCAGCGGTTGGTTTTCAACGCGCGCTAAAAGTTGGTCTCTCAGGACAGCCCAGTTCCGTTTGCTTAAGAATATCTTGTGTTCCGCTGGTGGCTCCACAGGGGCTCCAACAGAAATGAGCCACTTCCATTTGGTGAAATGTTGGTTTCCCCCGTAGAGATTTTGAAGGAAATCTAGCACTTCTGGAAATACTGTCGCTTTTTGTTTCCAGACTTGAGCAAATGGAGGGAACGCTGCATGGTTCATCCCAGGATTCATTGGGTTCACGCCAGATCACGCGAGGATGTTGTCGTGAACTAGTTGGTGGTTGGAAGGGAGTGTTGTCTCTACCGCTATTGGGTTGGATCTTTAGGCTTTAACTTTTTGGCGCTAAACCCCCAAAAAGTGTTCAACTTGTTGCAGGAAAGTCGTTGCAGCAACCAAGTTGTGTTCCTTTTGGTTTCCCTTCAAACCTCATTTCACCCGAGACCCAGCGCCGGACTTGGCGCCTTGTCGCGCTTTCCCTTTGGAACTGGCAGCACTGTTGTCCTGGTCGCATCCGGGGTGCTGTTTTGTTCCAAGACCGTTCTATTTCGGAGACAAACCAAACACCTCTTGGCCTATAGGTCCCCCATGGTGCCCTTTTAGCGTTTCTTTTTTTGGGGAGGATTCCCCTACTAAACTAGGCTACAGGGAAAAGGGTACCCTTCTTCTAACCTCTTTAGTGGAGGACCTAGTGGCCATCCATGCCGCCTCACAAGGGGTACTCTCGTGAAAAAAGATACCCATAGTTTACCAACCATTCTAATTTCCCATGAAATCAGGTAGCAGCACCATGGGGGGGAGGGGTTCCCTGGTCCACCGTGTTAGAGAGCCAGGCAGTCCTTTTGATTTATCTTGAAAACCACAATGTTCCCTTCAGTTGCGAGTGTGGCTTTTTTATTTGTGCGGCCAAGCTCTGGATAGCCGGTTTTGACCAAACACACGCTATTTGGTTTCATGGAAGGGTTATAATGATTGGTGAATATGGGTCTGTGTTTCTGCCTTTTTCTTGAGGACACCCTGTTTTGGGGTGGTTTTCACGGGGAATCAAAAGGAAAGCCTGGCGTCCCCCTACCTTCTTGGTGGCTCCCAGCCATCCCCTCGAGTTGGTCTAGTGATAGTGTCCATTCAACCCACAAGTTAGTCACTTTTAGCAAACGGGCAGCCCAGTTTTGAGACACACCTAAGCCTTAACACAAGTCGGCGCGGGCTCGTAGGATACTTAAAGAGTACCAGAAGATTACCAAAAAAGGACAAACCGGAGGAAGAACAGGTCCTGGTGAGATCCGCACAATGCGAATCCAAACGTTTTTCTAGAATATCCACGAGGGCAAAGGGTTGGATTCTGGAAATGGCAGTGGGTCAAAAATAGGTTCCTAAAATGGCACCCTGGTAAATGAAAACCATGACTAAAACCAGTGGTCCCCTGGTGGTTTAATTTTGACGTTCCTTTTGGTTCCCCTCAAGGGTAGCCTCAACAAACACACCCATGAACCCATGTATCACCTTTCTTTGCCAGTTTTAGAGGGCCCCCCCAAACTTGCAAAGCGGTTTTCCTCGCGATTTCCCTTCGAATTCAGCCCCACCCACCCACAAATGAGCTTCTTTCCAGATTTGAGAGGTTTGAATAAGTGCCATACCCAAATGAAGCCATATCCAATGACCAAACATTCCACATGCCTTTCCTATACCTGCCAGGCCTTCTTTTGCGGGCTTCTGTGCCAGGCGGGGGTAGACGGAAGATGCGTTGCGTCAGGCCCGAATGGTGCTCGGGCGTGGAGACTTGAGCGAGGGCGGCATCTTTTTGTGGGTGGTTTTGATAGGGAAAGACCACCATTTTAGGAGCCCCCCCCCCAAATCAAGAAATGCAGTTTCCAGTTTATGAGGGTTTTAAACATCACCCGCTGTCCGCTGCGAGCTCTGTGGGTGCTTCACTGGGGAGTCTCTTACTTCAGGATTTTGGGGGGCGTAGAAGCGGCAGCTGAAGGTGTGGTCCAGCTACTTACCTCTGAAAAAAACACAAAACTTGTCTCAACTTTTCGGGGAACATGGGCGAGTTGTGTCTGTAAAAGATGAGAACTTCCCCAGGTTGCGCAGGGAGTTTTGTGGGGTAAGGCTCTGCAATCACCCTCAGCTGATGGAGGAACGGATCCGAATTCGAGGTTCCTCTTTGGGGTGCCCCAATCAAGGGGCACCTCATGTCAGGGACTCCCCTTGTGACTGAAGCAGAAATGGCAACGTGGCCGAAGATTCAAACAGGTTTAAAACAACAGGGGAACCAAAAAAAAACAAGCATGCAGCTGAAATCCTGCACATCGGGGAGCTGCAGTATACAGCAGTAGTGCCCCATTTGATGCTTTATTGGGGTTGGAATCAAGGGCCTCCCGCCCAGCTGTTTTTTTTTCGGGCACTGACCAGGCAATGCCACAAGATGTCCAGCTACAGGATCCTCCTGCGAAAATGGTGGTAGAGGGTGGGTTGCGAAATCCATTGCGCACCAGCTAACAAACCATGGTTGAAACCATGACGTTTGTTGGTATTTACAAGGGAATCGAATCATTTCAGGCTTGGCTTAGATGGAACCCACAGGTTTTGTTTGGTTCATATCAGTTTTCCTCGCCATCGATTTGCAAGGGGCACCTGTTTCTTGTGAGCACACCCTCACCTACTTGGAATCTGTTCTTGTTTTGGGGGGGGGGACCCGCACCTTGTTGCACCATGGATTTGTTCATATTGAACCGACCAGCAAGCAGCTGTTACACGGGATTGGGACCCCCCCTCACAAACACATGTAAGAAAGCCTTCCCTTCAAATAGGGGCTCACAAACGAGTGTGATCTCTGCCCAAATAGCGATAAGGGGTTTGGGGCAGCTCTCGGGCAGGCTTCGCAAGGAGATGTATTCCTTCCTTCTTCTTTTTTTGGACGGCAATACCGGGCTGACAAAAATCGCCTGCGGCGCTCTGGGCCCGTGTGGAACGGTCGAGCTACCACCTCGCTTCGGAAATGTTGGCGAACTTGGCCAGGCGGATGCGCAGTGTCCTTCGGGCGCCTCATGCCGCAAGGTCCGCTGTTGCGGAAGCCTTGGCCGGGATTTTCTCGGAGGGGTTCGCCTTTTGGGGGTGGGGTCAAAGGGAACTCAAAGTTTTTGTTTTTTTTGCCATTTGAGTGTTTTTGATTGGGAATTCAAATGGAGAAACGCACGTTTCCTTGGTGTCCCCTTGCGGCTGCTTTAGACAGTTCCTAAAGCGCCAAGTCGCCGTGACCTTGCCGGACACTTTGCGCCAAAAACTGACAGTTGCGGGCAACTGGCGACCCAAGTTGTACCCCATCTAATCCAAGAGTAGCGGGGCCCGCTTTCCAGGCCCCTCCCCGGATTTTGTTCTCCGGTTGCGACCATTCCCAACTTATGCAGAAACAGGCAACAGGCACCCCCCCCACGGCGAAGAAATCGGGAGGTGGTCGGAACGTTTGTGCAGAAATCGGCGCCGAGCCGTGCGGCACAATGGTCCAGTGACTTAAAGCCCAAGACCGGGAGACCGCAGCCCCAGATTCACCCGTGACAACCGCGTTGCAAAGGCTTTCCAAGCCCATGGATTCGCATTGATTCGCCAACCTTTAAGGTCATTTTGTGATTGAGAGATGGCATGAATCCTTCCTTTGGAAAGGCTCTTTCGCTGATTTGTATTCCTTCAGTCATGAGAAATGTGTTTGTCTTCCTTCATCTCCCACTCGATTCACTCCTTCATTCCCGCGCCTCCCCACCGTGTATTATTCTCAGAAAAAAGGAGTACTTAAGGCTCTGCGACGGATCAAAATCACTGCCAAGCATGGCCTTGAATGGTTTGAAGGAAATGCGGGTTATGAGCCACTTACACATGGGTCCGCTTGAGGCATGTGGGTGGCTCGTCTTTTCTTGAGGGCACCCTTTTCCTTGATGTTTCAAAGAGAAGCCAAAAGGACAACCGCATTTATTATTTGTATCATTATTACTATTATTACCATGATTACTATTCTTAGTATTATTATCATTCTCAGTATTACTAGTAGTAGTGTTTTTTGGTGGGGGGGGAAGACAGACCCACAAAAGTGGGACGAGTCTCTAGATGATAGCACCCCATAGGCGAGAAGATTGGCTGCACTTCCTTTCGTCTTCCTCCGGCGCCAACTTTTCATTGGTCCTATCTTATCATGTTTATTGGGGCTACCTGGGTGGGAATGAAGGCCATGCTTGGCAATGATTTTGATCCGTCGCAGAGCCTTGCAGGCGCCTATAACCTGAATGCAGCACAAGCACGGCGTTCCTCATACGTGCTCTCTTTTTTGTTGTTTGCACGGGTACCCCTTTTTTGCTGTTTTCAAACGGAGGCCGAAAGGTTGGGGGGTTGTAGTGAATATTTGCAGACAAACCCACAGAAACCTGCGTAATGTTGTGGATGAAGTGAACCTTGGGCCAACATTTGGGAGCTTGCATCTTTACCCTTGACGATTCCACGAAGAGAAGCAAAAAGCCCCACTGGATTCGTGAACTTATTTTCTGCGGCACCTTTGAAGCTCAGGACCGATCATTCCCTGCAAAGATTCGCTGCAACCATGGTTTCATCTTGCGGTGCAAACGAATTTCGCCCATCCACGTTGTCTTTTTTCTCTGGTGACTCAGCTTCGCTCTTGAACCCTGCTCCCTACCACTTTCGGTAAGGGAGTTTGAGCTTGCTCCTGCGTCCCTGGCACGGGTTCTTCCACCCTTCCTCAAAACTGCGCTGGGCCCCGTTAAAGGCTGAGCATTGGCCCAGTGAGGTGAGCCACAATCAAAACCCGGGTAGAATAAAGGTTAGTAAGGGACAATCCCAGCCATAAATAGATGCAGCCGCCTTTGTATTTCCTTACGTGGTTCAGGGTCAAGCATTTCAATACCGGGTTTTGATTGTGACTCAGGTGAGCCTTGGCCAATTTTTCTAGCCGGCAGGTTGGTGCGCAAAACCTGGGCCTTTGCATCCACCCCTTATCCTTCTCGGACTGGGCGCGGCGGCCAAATGTTGGTGTCCTTTTCTTGCGATCGGTGCGATAGCTAGGGAATGTGGTTGAATGAACCCAGGGGTTCCCTAAAAGGACACCACCAGTTGGGCGGTTTATTTCGGGGTCGTTCCCTCATTCCTGGCTGAGCGCCAGCATTTTTTGGCTAATTAGCCCTTTGAACCACCCCCCAAAAAAGGAGACCAAGCCTCAAAAAATCACAAGTTAGCAAACACATTTTCCAAGTTCTGGATCAGTTGTTTGGTTGCCAATTTAAGATATGTGTTTCCTTTTGGGTTGTGATTTTTGGTTGGAAACATAAGAAACCCTTGGAAGGACTACGGGGTGGGGGCTAGAGTTGGGTGAAGGCAGGTGGCGCAAATCTCCCTCATTTTGGTATGATCTTGGTCACCTTTCATCCCCTTTACCTATCATATAAAGGCCTGGTGTAAGGAGAGACCCGAAAGCTCCAGCTGTACTTACCCAGATGGCCTATTTGCAGTTTCTTTCCTGGAGCTTGCTCGAAATACAATCGCAGCCGCTGGGAAGAACCAGCAAATGCCGATCCAGCGAGTGCTTTCCCCCAATCTGTGCAGTTATTCTTCTTTTCAACACAGCGAGACAGGGAAGCAGTTCTTGAAAAGCACGGCCGGTGAAACGGATGGGGCTGGGAATCAAACGATGAACCCCAAGATAAATTTTGGTGGCTCCCCTTTGGACGGCACTTCAAGAAAGAAACCACACTCATATAGGTGCGTCTTAAATTAGGAATTGGGCTTCCCTTCAACCCAAACTCTTTCAAAAGAGAGACTCACTCATGGATTTTGCACCATTTAAAGCAGATGATTGAAATGTAAATAACAAGCAACAGTGGCTTCACGCATGGTTTCTTAGGTGGAGCGAGAAGCGGATTGCGAAACCATGCACAGTATGAGCGTATCACGAGAGACATCAGACCCATCCAGGGCCTTCTCCAGACTCCTAAGACGTTTCATTTCAAGAAGAACAGCCTTTACTTGCGGGTGCGATAGGTTCATGGCTCGCTATGACCAATCGAACTTCGAACAAACACACAAAACACAGACAAACAACCACATGGTAACACGGGATCCTGTCACAGGGGCCTTCAGTTGAATCCCTGGTAGGCGCAAGGGGTGGGTAGTTAAGGTCCCTAGGGTTCCCTAGCGCTCCTTAAAGCTTCTTAGGGAGCAATAGGAAGCTGCAAGGGGAAGCGGAGGGTTTGCTTTGAACAACTTTGGGAGCGACCACGGCTCCTGGCCCTCGAACAATGCGCACATTTTTCGGGTTGCTTTTTTGCGACGAAGTGGGATGTTTCGAAGGCTTTCAAAGAGAATCCGCGTCATTCCGCGTCAGTCTTCGGGAATGACCCGTTATGCCTCATGACATGAAAAGCCCTTGTGAGTCTGGGGATGTCCACGTCAGTCTTCGGGAATGACCCGTTATGACATGAAAAGCCCCGGGAGTCTGGGGATGTCCACTGCTTCACAGGACTCGGATGTGTTGAAAACGGAACCACGAAAACCAAGTCATTTGGAGGCACTGCCAAATAGCATCAAGCTTCAAGATCTTCGGTGAAGAGGACGGTCTTCCCCGCCGGTCCCCGAGCACCCAACTCCTGGAGAGCCACACTTCAACCTTCAAGATCGGCCGCAACGGTGGTAGAGTGGGAATCAGGTGTCATGGGCCTGTTGACCCACGAGATCAACCACCGAGCCAGCTCGGTCTTGCTGCCCGATAGAATTTTGCATGGGCTGTGACTGCATGCCTGCTTGGGTTGCCTGTTGACCTATTTGTTTGTGGCTTAGGGAAGCCCAAAGGAGCCCGCTTGAGTCGGTTCCGCGAACATCGAGGAGCCCGTTTCCGTCGAAGATTTGTTTAGGACTTTGCCCCTTGGCTTTGTGACTCAATGGGAAGATAGGCGCGGACAAGAGCCACTGGTCTAAACCCACAGCGCACGTTTGCACCAGTGACACACGCCAAGCCAAATGAGCCACAATCAAAACCGAGTAGATAAAGGTTAGGGATACTCACCATAAATAGCTGCGATCTCCGCCTTCTGAATTCTTGAAGCATGGTTCTGATTACCAGAACTCAAACCGGGTTTCGATACCGGTTTGCATACCCAGACTGGGTTCACCCCGTTTTCATGCCGGGTTTTGATTCTGACTGATTTCAGACCAAGACCACCTTGACCAGGGGGTTGAGCTCAGCCGGGGCCACGGGATGTTGTCTCGATTGGTTGCGGTTACCCTCCCACCAACCAACACGGAAGTGCACAGACCCCTGGAACACGACTTTCCTCTTGGTTAGTTGGCCTTTTTGCACAAACCCAGGTGAGTTGGCGGAAGGGTACCAATCAAACATAAATGGGAGTTCATCCCCCATAATTTAGAGGGTCATGGTACCCATTTTCACGGGTAGTTTGAGGGTCCAGGTACCCTTGGGAGGGTACCTTGTTTTTAGCAAACCCCAAACACACTAGAGCCCCCCCAAACCAATGGTTTCCTTTGGTTTCCCTCCAACCCACAGAGGGCACCCCTGTCCAGCGGAAAAGGGGGCCTTGGGGGGGAGGCTGGGGAGCTTTGGACGGGTCCCTCGAGAGCCGTTTTTCCGAGGCCCGGCTCTCGTCCCGGGTGAAGCTGGGCATAGGCACGAGACGTGTTTGGGATGGTTAAGTTATGCCCTCCCCCCTCCACGCCGTTTTTTTTGGGGAGGGGGGAGTGTTTTTTTGTTTGTTTCTTTTTTTTGTTTTTTTTTTTTTGCGGGGGAGAGTTCTTTCTTATTTATTTTTTGGAGGGGGGGTTTTGTTTGGGGGGGGGGGGTTTGTTTGGGGGGGGGGGAGAGTTGTTTGCTCCTTATTTTGTTGGGGGGGGGAGGGGGCCTATGTTTTTTTTGGTGCTCTCTTTGGGCGGGTTTCCCTTTAAAGCCAACTGCCCCAAAATCGAGCAAAATCGAGCGACCGCAAATTGATTTGTTTCATTCGATTTAGCTGGGCTAGGTATTGCAGAGAACCCGCCTCCCCAGTTTCCTTTTCTTTCTAAAACAAAGAAGCTGCCTAGTTTATCGCGAGCTCACCAATTCGCCGTAAAAAAACAGCTCTCCATGATAAAGGAAGGTCCTTTTACTTGGGGCCCCCTTAAATGGCCGTGGGTCAAAAATGGGTAGCCAAAATGGAACCCTGGTAAATGGAACCAACGACCCATACCCAAATGATTCCAATCTGAAAATGACACGTCCCCAGTGTCTTCACGTTTCGGCCTTGGACGTAGCGCGCCAACGGCTGGTTTCCGAATCCAAGCAGGAAGTAGGACATTCGATGGGCCGTGATCCGCAAAATCTGCACCGATCGGCGCCAGTTCAGTTGAGATGGGTGGCTGTCCACTTGGTAGCCTGTAGGTTTTTGTAGTTGTTTTTATTTGTCTTGGTTGTTGGGTTTCCATTTAGCCGGGAGAAACTTTTAGTAGGGGATCAGACAACGGACAGCCGTTCACCTATACCGAGCTTACCGGCGTAGGTCTCTCATCCCCAGCGATGCGTTGTTCGAGGGGCCTTGTAAAGGCGTGTTTTTTTTTTTGGGGGGGGGTTTGGGAGCTCAAAGGTTCATTCCAGGATGAGCTTTGCTAGGTCCCCCAGTAGTGCCCTTTCTCACCCCTTTTTTGTGGGAGGATTCCCCTACAAAAATAGACTACAGAAAAAAGGGTACCCTTATTCTAACCTCTCTACTGGAGGACGTAGTTTGGATAAGCCCTTGACAAGGCCGTTTTCGGCCCAGCATACCTTGAACAGTTGAGGAATACATTTTGGCTGTGCAAAACACGGTGGCCAGCTCATGTAGAGGATCCCCTGGAAGAGCCGTTTTTGACAAACCGAGAGGTGGATATCTAGAAATGTGGCGAATCTGTGGATCCACCCCTGTATATCAAAAGAGTACGAACAGATTCCTAAAAAGGGACCAACAAGGGGAAGAACATTCGTTTTGGACAAATGCCGCCTAGTTTTCTGAAGCAACACGGGTGTCATTTTTTAGGGGATCCCCTCCCCCAAAACAAAACAAAGGAAGAAAAAGACACGTGTTTTTTTCTCCTCTTGCCCTTTAAGACCAAGAGGCGCTTCCCCAGAATTCGCTCCCCCTGTTTGCTTTTTTTTTTTTTGCTTTTTTGGAATTGGTCCCCTTTGTCTTCCACTCACCAGGCAGAAAAACAACAAATATATATTTTTTTGCCGGGGCCCCTTTTTTCCAGCCAAGTTAGAGGCTGGTTCCGTATTTAAGCCACCAACACTTTCGCTGGATCAGACTTCGAACGGTAGATATTGTTGACAGTGAACTTGCAGGCGCCAAATGGCGCAAACAAAAACGCCGGTGGGACATGCGTGTGATGTCCACCAGCTCGCAGATGAAAACTAATTCTGTGGATGAACAAAAATAATCTTCGCACCAGATAGCACGGATGAAGCCCTTTGAACAAACGGAGTGAATCACCCATCCCAAGAGGATTTGTTCCACCCGCAGATTTTCAGGCAAGGGGAGCCAAGATACGCTTTTTCGCATCGCGAGCAGTCACTTTTTTGGACCTCTAGTCAAAAACCCTGGGCACTGGGCCAACAGAGGCACGCATAAATTTGGGCAGGTGAAGTAAGGGACACTCCCAACCATTGACAGGCGGCCAGCCTTGCAGTTCTTGGGGCCGTGTCGTGACCGTCGTGACCATGTGAACGAGGAACTTGGGCCATCGCTGTTGCCAATGAAGTCCCTGGAAGGCTGTACCACTTGGGTCTACCAAGTTGCTAGTGGCAGCAGTTTACCGCAGTCTAAGGGCCCCCACTGCCATGTGGGGCAAGATGCCAAGGATACCGCGTGCTTGGCTTAGAGCTTCGCGCCCTTTTGCCCCCGTGGGCGCAGTGAACGGCTGGGAGGGCAGGGAGGCAATCCTGCCAAGCCATTGCCAGACAAAATGTTCCGCGTTTTTTTTCGACGAGCAAAGGGTGAATTTTCCTAGGGGCCCGAGGCCTGCCCCACGAACGGTTCCTTGTCCAAGCGACGCCTTCGTCCGCAGGCCTGCCCAGGATCCACGTAGCAGGTTCCTTTATCTCATCTCGCGTTTTTTTCAGGGCAGAACCAGGCTTGAAAGCATGTAGCTGTTTCCTGCTCACAGAGCCCCCCTAGCCGTAAAAACATTTCCACAACCCAACGCCACCCTACAACTAGCCAACGCGCGCGAAGCCACGTGTGAGACAGCGCGTTTCCCGCGGACCATAAACTCCAGTCGAATTAGGCGACGTTGTAGAGCCCACGCCAAGCCAACACCAAACTGATGCTACCAGAACCGGGCGCGCCAACACGAAGAATGATGTTGAGGGCTGCTATTTGAATTGTTGCAAATTGGATGGTTCCTTGGGCCACGGAACTTCCACAGGCGGCCATCCGTCAAAGCTCAGGGCTTGTTTCCTTCCAGGCTTCCCGAGCCCCGCCGGCGCCGGCGGAACGCCCGGGCCCCAACTTGGCTGTGAAATGGAAATCCGAGGACTTCACCAAACACTTTGGTTTTTGATCGGCCGGCTTCACGAAGGATGGTTCCTTCTCTGGTCGCATTCAGGTTGGTATTAATTAACTTAGCCCGGTGAAGGGTTCCAATTCCAGTAAAGTCAACCAACCCCAAAAAATCGGACGCCGATAATTTTTTCGCAATGGAAATCCACTGGGCATTTGAGCCTTTCCTTCGAGCCCCATGCCTCCCCCCCCCAAACCCCCCTCCCACCCCACCCCGGCGCGCGAGGAGGAGTTCAGGTTCTCGGGCCATTGATAGCAGGCGAGTTTGCTGGAGCGGTGGTTCAACCAGAGAACGTCCGGTGCAACTGGGTTTGTTAGCCTTTTAGTTGGTTTGTCTCCCGCTTTTTGTTCCCTATGCTCGACGAACCCACATTTTTAAAGGTTTCCAAATGATTACCTGGTTCTTCACAAGATGCCAGGAAGGACCTGCCTTTTATTTGCAAAACCTAGGTTTTCCTGTCAAACCCTTTATTTTGCTGCTGCAAAGGCCTACTTGCTCGAGGACCTGAAAGGATGGCGGCCGGAGCAGCACGGTAAAACAAAAGCCGCAAGAGGCAGATAGAAAACCCTCATATAGGCACATGTCTCAAAGACCATGGACCGTCAGCCGTGCGCTCTTTTTGCTCCATGGCAATGATCTGCGTGGCAGCCCAGTCCTGCTCGCGCGGCAGCTTTTGCTCTTGGCTGAACTGCATTGGGTGTTGGTGGAGCTTGGCGCTGTTTTTGGCCCAAGATGGTTCGCCCACAAGAAGAACGGCAACCGCCTCTTGACCTTAGCGAGCTGTCGAACACTTGGGCTGAAAATGAATGGGTCCGGGGACGGCTTTGCGACGGCAAGCACCTGGTTCATGAGCTCACGACTTCGCAGTGCAACATCCGCACAGCTGTGTTGAACCGAGGGGTGCTCACTCCGCTTTTGGAAATCGACGCCCTTCAGAATGGCGCCGCAAACAAACAGAGCGGCAGGCGTCAGGGCTGGGCTGCGCCTCGGAAAGAAAGAGCAAGAGAAACCTGGCCATGTGCAGTGTATGTTTGCCTCTTTGCTTGTGCTCGGCCTACGCTGCAACACATCATGTTGATCCTGGGTTCGTCCACCTGGGGGGTCCGCCTCCGCTCAAAAATGACATGTCCCCACCAAGATGGGACGATTGCCTTCTTTTAGACATGTGCGAGTCACAGCTTGGTTTCATCGGGGGGCGTCTGTCGAACGTGCCGCGTACATTTTGCGCCTGACCTTGATCCTAGGTGATCCCGTCGAAGTTGTTCGCCTATGACGGCTCTACCAGCCTGACACTGCAAAGTTTGCTGACGGCCATCTTGTGAAATGCTGAACGTGATCAGCCTTGCTGACCTGATCCTCGTTTTTTCCCAGAGGTATTGTTTCAACAGCCTGACCATGGTCCCAACAATAACTGCTTTGAGATGTTTACCCGGTTGACAACTTTGGGAACTTATTTAGAACAATATTTGCTCAGACATGTTTACACGGAGCTGACTTAAGATAACAATTGTGTAGACATGTCATCTACGCCATTGATCCGAAAAAGGCGCTTGTTTAAAACAGTTGTTTAGACATGTTCACAAAACCAAAAAGAGGTTGTTGAAACAGTTGTTTGAGCCAGGTTTTTTTAAAGCTATAAACGGCAACCATTTGTTCCCTGGCCGCTCATCAATGTCATTCACCCGTCAAGGACATTTTCAGGTAGCAGAATCAGAGGTGTGTGGAGTCTATTTGCCATGTATGCGAGGGGCGCATACTGCCTTGCAAGCGTACATTAGTGGTACGCAAGCATGCATACCGCGGATGGACGAAATCTTGCACCACCTCAAAAACCCTGGAGTGATGAGTTCCGTCTGAATGTGTCAACTCAACTATGGTCTCAATGGTTTCAACCATGGTTTCAAAGTGGTGCGCACATCTCGCAACCGTCCACAGCACATCCGTTGCGCCCCTCCCTGCAAATGCCATCTCGAACTCGGTCCTTGGGGAGGTTGCACCCGTTGCACCCGTTGGACCGGCCTCAGGTCCAAGGGCTTCCAGATCGCGCGCGCCTACTCTGCGCTGCAGAGCCTCAAGAGGCCGCGTTTGGGAAATTGCCCAAGCCAAAGATCCCCAACCCGAGTTGGCCGTGCCAGATAAATGCGTGGCAAAAGAGGACCCAAGAAAGTTTGCAAAAGCCACCTGCCATAGGGAACCTCCCTCTTGAATCGTTAAATCTGTGATTTAGAACCAACCTGCCTGCCACCCCGGTATTCCATTGGTGTCACGTTGCGCTTTCCACACCCCGGGTCCAAAAGCCCTCGATCTCACTTTGGGCGGGGTGATCGGGCAGCACACCCACGGGTCCCCTCACACCTGACATGAGGGATCGCAGAAGGACTCAGATGGGTGTGGGGTGGCGTGTTTTTGAGGCTACCCCTTTTTGATTGGTTCTACAGGGAAACCGAGGGAAAAGCTGAAAAATATCTGAAAACGTCCCCGAAAACACGACGCACCCAACATAGCGAGCATCACGCCTATGGTGAGTTTGTTTTACACCCCTTGTGCGCTCCGGCATTGTTTTGGGCAACTTTTTGCATCCGGACGGTTTTTGGGTGACTTCCGTTGCTAGGAGAAGCACTTTCTGGAATCCGTTTCGGGGGGTCGGCGCAGAGAGCCCTAGGGTTGCTTAGGCTTCCCGTGGGTTCCTTACAAAGCCTTAGCGAGCCCCTGCGTGGACCGGCCCCGCGGGATTCCGCAAATGTTTGACAATTCCCCCGGGTTGGTCAGGGCTCCTTAACAGATACATTTTGCACATTTGAAACATGGCTATAATGTAAGGATCCCTGTTGGTTTTCAAAGGGAGTTCAAATTTCTACCGGACCCGAGAGCCAGTTCCGAGCCGCCCAACCCGAGGGAGCCAGGCCTTTGGGTATCGGCTTGAAGAATTCTCGATTCGTGCTTAGAGACTGTGCTCAACGGCCCGACTCCTCAAAAAGGGTCCCCCATGTTGAACAGATTAGGGTCGTGTTTCCGAGGGTTTTTCGAAGGCCCTCGGGACCCGAAGCACAGCGTCTCGTTGTGCAACTTGGCAATGGGGGCGTACCCAGCGCCCCCCCCAACGAACTGCGGAAAAAACTTGGTGTCCGACGATCCCAAGTACGTCCAAGAAGCAGGGGTTGCGGGGTGCCACCCATGCGGGCTCCCCAATTCGAGACCAAGGTTTCAAGGTGTCCTTGGCCAGTCCTGAGAATTGATGGAAGGCTCGCCAGGCAAGAGGTTGACGGTCCGTTTTGATGGTTGGCTACTCCGATTTGTTGGTGGTAAAGGGAAAGCAAGAGGAACACCGGAAAACACCCTTGGGTCTAAACAAAACACACAGACGGACAGTTTGCTTGTCAGAGTGGTTGCACGGCTTTTCCCTGCAGCTTGTTAGGCCCTACTATGTGGGGTCCATTTCTCCATTTGTCGTGCCTTCAAACGTCGAACTGTTTTCGTTGACATGAAATTGCGTCATTGGGCGTGTCTCTTTTTCCTATTGGTTTCTTACCACCAAGAAAGGGCGGCCAACCAAAAACAGACAGACCTGGCTGGTGCTCAGTGGATGACCGTTCTGGGTGTTGGGAATCAACCGTTTGGGGATTATCCTAACATAATCATAGTTTCCCTATTGACCCCCGAAAAACAGTAGGGCAAACGACGAGCCTGCACTTCCTGTGTTAAGCACACGTGTGCTCCTTTACATGGAAGTGAAGGGCACATTTTCAGGTTCTATGTTAGGACACTTTCGTTGGTCAGAACGTGTGTTTTCACTCGCGTTTTTCGCTTACATGGAAGTGCAGGCTCGAAACCGGCCCCCCGAAGAATCTAGGGTTGTTTTGGGAAACCCCAGGATTGCCGTGTCGAGGGGCACCTGGCACAGATTCTATGTTAGGAGATGGTCGTACCTTCCCAGTAAAAAAAAAAGAGACTGGCATTTCCCCAGGCAAACACGGTGAAGGGACTTCCATGTTGGAGGGACTTCTGAGAGCACGGACTTCCTGTTTAATTCCAGGGAGTGTAAATATTTCATGGGGAATTATTTTTCTTGGGATCATTCCATCTCATTCCATTTCTGCCTCTCTCGAACCGATCGCAAGAAGCACCCGTGAGCGCGCCAGGCGGTACTCCATCTCCGACGGGGACACCGACGTGCTCACCGTCAAGGCGCCAAACGAGAGGGGTAAAAAACGACCCTCCCGTGGACTTGTTTTTTTTTAAAGCGGTGGCATTTTTCTTGGGCAGTGGCTCAAAATTAAAGAGCTAGGGCCAACCGCAGGTTTTGGTCCATGTTTCCACTTACCAGGGCAAGCCATTTTGGCACTGCTTTTTTGAGCTGTGCCCATTTAACCCACTAAAAGTTAGTCACTTTTAGTGGGGTATCCGAGACCAGCCCAGTTTTGGGGTTGAACCAAAAGGACACACTCATTCAAAGCCCTTCACTTGGGTTTTATCCTGATTGCATAGATCCGGCCGCAAGCTCAGGGGGTGTTTCTTAACATAATCCCCCAAAACGGGGGGCTTTCGTTTGGTTTGATTTTACCCAGCAAAGCAGTTGTGACGTGTTGCAGGGGAAGCATCCCCATTTGAGTGTTTCTGGAGGGTGGTCAAAAAGGGACACCAACATGGACACCAATAATTTTGTTTCCCCTTAGAGGAAACATTCTGACTACCCCAAAAAACACCAAGAACCCTTCTGGACCCAAGGTTTCCTTTCAACCCTTCTTGGGGGGCAGGGACTAAAACTGGCAAGACGGAAGCAACCGTCTTATCCTTTCCCCCCAGGGCGCGTTTGAGGACACGCCGACAAAAATGGGGGCGAGCTGCCCAAGTTCCCCCACCCCACTCACGTAAACCCTTCCTCGGACGGGACAGGCGACATGCTCTTTCAAAGCTCAACATGTGATTGTTCCATTGATACCCGCCGTGCAACAACGCAGGGAAGGCAGGCCATGACGGTCATGTCCTTCCTTGTTGCATGTAATTACGTGGCGCCTCTGTTTGTGAGGTGAGCAATCAATCTGGCTGTGGGTCAAAGCCAATGGTTCCATTTTGGGGTAGGTGCAGCACCCATGTTAGTCTAGTTTAGTGGGGATTGGGATATTCACTGTGGGGATTGGGATATTCACTGGGGGTACGGGATTTTGACCCATGGGTATACCCAAATCCACAAGCAGAACTAACCGGGGAAAAAGGCCCCCCCCCCCCCCCCTCCAGACAAAAAAGTAGCACTAGGCAACTGGGGAGGTATTTTGAAAAGAAAACCAAAAGGAAACCGCAGAATGGGGCCGAGCGTGTTGTCTTGCGCAATTTTGACCATCGCTGAAGCATTTGCTTAAGCCCCCTGCAAAAAAAACACTGAAAATCGGCAGTGATAGATTCCCTTTACAACCAACTGGGGAAAATCAAAACATTCTTGAGCAGATGGAAGCAAGCAACGATTTCACAAGAGCTGTTTGTCGAATCATCAAAGGGCCGGTGTCCTTCCGTCGTCCCGCTCCCTACAAGTTGGGGCGATCAAACGTGCTTTGTCTACACATCAACTTAGGCTTTGTTCGCTTCGTTGATGCTTGTTCCAAAGACGTGGTTGCTGCTTCCATCACTATGACTAACCGTCAACCTGGGCTTCTCTGCAGACGGGGAGCATGGCGTTCTTTTGCCAAACGGGCACTCCAATGGGCTGGGACTGCCCCTTACTAGCCTTCATCTACCCGGGTTTTGATTGTGGCTCACGTGAACAGCTGAAACGAAAGGCAAAGACTGAACATCAGGAATCCGCCACTAAGGAGCCTTCTGAACCTTTTTGGGCCAGGCAAGCTCGTGGCAATTTTTTGCCCATCCTAGCCAAAGGTGGGTCCTCGAAAAGTTATCCGGATCAACCCGCCGATCAACCAGGGCTTTGCTACTCAGGGTTGCCCAAAGTAATTCTCCAAGCAGGGGACACCCCCAAAATATTTAGAAGGGGGTGTTCCAGTGTTCCCCTCCAAAAGTGATGATTGCCCACTAAACCCAGATACACCCCCCTTTTTACAGCAGGGGTTGACTGTGCTTCTTGTTCCCGTTCACACCACCCTGTCGGATGGGTGGGCCTCTAAATGCGAAGCTCCCTCAACAAAAAATGCGGACCTCCCCTCCCCAACAAAAAAAAGAAGAGAAGAACGGTGGCTTTCGTCAGATGCCCTTTTTCGACCATCTGGGGGGTGGTTTTCCGGTTTTCTTCCCCTGGACAGCTCCATTTTTCCGGCCAAAAGCGTCCTAAAAGCGCCAAAAGCGCCAGGAGATGCTGGCGGCCGCCTCGACACCGGGGGGGCTGAACGCCCGGAACCTCGGATTCGCGGGGCTCGCGACGGTGGGACTCGCTGACTCGCGGGACTTTGGGGCATGGGAAGCTGGGGCTGGGCATTTTCCCGGGCCCCGGAACGGTGCGGGGGGCGTTGCTTTGAAGGACCCTTGCTGTGTTTTTTTAATATATATATATATATATTTGTCCCTAGGCGATGGTATGGAGTAGCACAATGAGAAAACTCGGACAGTATAAGACCTGTTCGGTACTGCTGAAGCCGTGCCGTGGAGACCACAGCAAGTCCGGCTATTTATTGTCCCCTGTTGGCTTGAAAGGGAGTCGATAGTCAATTTCACGACTGGACATATTTTTTGCCAGGGGGCTCAAGCAAATGGAAGTGTGGGTGCACTCTGACCATGGATCAGCCTGCATATGCTCAGTGACATGGAGTTTGTTTTTTTCAGAACTCAGCTTAAACGACCCTTCCGCACGGTGCAGAAACCATGGTTGAATCAATTGTTTGTTGGTATTTATAGTAGACTCGTCATTCTAGGTTGTCTTAGGTGGTGCAGGATGTTGTCCATCCACAATACTTGACTGCTATTGGGTTGGATTTTTAGACTTTAACTTTTGGGGAATACAAGTGTTTTCCACTAACCCCCCCCCCCCCCCAAATATATAGATATATATATATATAGATCAATAAATTAATAAACTTTTTGCAGGGGGGTCAAGAGCAACCAAGAACAGGGGTTGGCACAAGTTGCTTCAGCCAGTGCATCCGAAAGCTTGCTGAAATAGCTGGAGGAGTCACAGGGCTCCGAAGCTGCGCTTTGGCTTCATAAACATGGAAGCCTATTCCACCAGCCCAAAAGGAAGCCCGCCATGTTTGGGGGGTAAAGCGTCCAGACGGACAGTGCAAGCACCCCTGAGGGGCAGGGTATTGACTTTTCAGTTGGCACCTGACGTCCCTTGGAAGGCCAGCAATTAATGGAATGGTCATCATGGGATGACCGCCAGGGTACCTGGTTGTAAGACCCCTTTTGCACCACGAAGCTTTGGTAGGTGGAGATGGTTATAGTTTCCATTGGTTTCCCTTAAGCAGACCAGGCACAAGGGGGGTCCACCATTAGTCAACTTATGAGCGTATTACACCCTATCCATTTTCCCAATGATCATTGGTAAGTGCGCCCAATGTCATCCCGCGAGCGACAGTAGAAGACGGCAATATGGACTGTTGCTCAGGAAACATGAAGACCTCCCCCACAAATGGCGATTTCAGCATCGCCTTTTGGTTGCCCAAGGTTGGTAGGAGTGCTTTTTTTCAGGGAAAAAGCTAGGGGCTCATTTGCGCCCAATTCAGCCTTGATTAGGTCTAAGGGTTCTTGTAATACACCCTGGGAATACATCCACTGGGTATTGGCCACGTTTAGGCACATTTCCGGATAAAATCGTGTTATTTTGAACCATTCTGGGTCATTTGCCAAGGGCGTAATACAAAAACCCTCAGAAAATACAGGGTTTCATCCGGAAATGTGCCTAAATGGGGTCAATACTTAGTGGATGTCTTCCCAGGGTGTAATACAAAAACCCTCAGGTTAGGTGTTTCTCTCGAAGGTCGGAGCTTTCCAGGGGGACTGCGCTCTGAACCCTGCGAAAGATAAACAAAATCGGGGGGGGGGGGGGGTGTGGAACGAAGGGCGACGAAGACCCTCGTTGGCCGTAGAGGCGGTTCTACTGGTTGAGGGTCACTAGACCCGTAAATGCCAACTGTTCAAATAGAGCCCTTCCATTTGCTTGAGAGTATGCTTGTTTGTTGCCACGGAGTCTGCCACCACTTTTTTGTTTTTGTTTTTTAAACGAATTTCTGGTGACTGGAGGCATCGAAATTGAAGTATGACGTTGCAGTTGACACTGAATTTGTCCTGAGAGAGGGTAGTCTGCGCCTCCCTTTGCGAATCGGTGAGGTTGTCAAAACTACACTCCTCCTTTTCAAATGGACCTTTCTTTCAAAAGGGAGGTTGGCGAATTTCATCCCACGTGTGTGACGTCAAGCAGTTTATGTTGAACTCATACCCTAGTTTGCCATCAACGTCCCGCTGTCCCGAAAGGCGGCTTCATTTTGCCACGCTTTGCTTCTACACTTCGGACATCACCCAGATGTCAAACGAGTTCTTATATGTCCAACTCCCTATTTTGCGCGGGCAGCCGCAAACCCGGGGGCGGGGGGTCCGGTTCCAAGGCTTTGCGCTTCCCGCCCTAAAAAAATCGCCACAGCTCCACCGAGTCCTCGCGCGGAGTCCGGTGTCCGGTTTCTTAGGACCAGCAGCGCGGCAGCCTGGGCAACCTGCAGAACCTCATCCATAAGGCGATGAAGGGCGGCTCAGGCGCGAGAGCGCCGCGCGTCATCCAAGACGAGCGCGGTTGCTTAGGGAGCGTCTTTTCCCCACCCGACAGGAAGGGGTTGTTGGATTTTATGTTGGAATCCGCGTTTGCAATGCTTCCACATCATGCCCCCACCCAGAATCCCGCCAGAGCAGCTCGCCAGTGGATCCCGCCGAGTATCCCGCCAGGGCGGCTCGCCAGTGGATCCCGCCGAGTATCCCCCAGAGCGGCTCGCCAGTGGATCCCGCCGAGTATCCCGCCAGAGCGGCTCGCCAGTGGATCCCGCCGAGTATTTCTCAGAGCGGCTCGCCAGTGGATCCGGCTCGCCAGTGGATCCCGCCGAGTATCCAGCCAGAGCGGCTCGCCAGTGGATCTCGCCGAGTATCCCGCCAGAGTGACTCGCAAGTGGATCCGCCGAGTATCCCGCCCGATCTGCTCGGTGGATCCCGCCGAGTATCCCGCCAGAGTGGCTCGCCAGTGGATCCTGCCGAGTATCCCGCCAGAGCGGCTCGCCAGAGTATCCCGCCAGAGCGGCTTGCCAGTGGATCCCGCCGAGCATCCCGCCAGAGCGGCTCGCCAGTGGATCCCGCCCAGAGCGGCTGCCAGTGGATCCCGCCGAGTATCCCGCCAGAGCCAGAGCGGCTCCTGAGTACCCCTTGCCGGTGGATCCTGCCGAGTATCCGGGATGGGAATTTGGGGTCGAAGTCTCCAGGATGCGAAGGAATTTGTTGTAACGGTCGTAAGCTCGTGAGTGTGGAGGGTGGGGATTGCTCGAAGCAAAGTATTGTTCTTTTTCTTTTGGGGCCGGCCTGGCGTTTTTGTATCTGGGGCCATTGTGTTAACTGTTTGAACTTGTGGATATCAAAGTCAGTAAGTGGGGTTGTTTCCCTTTGCCCCACCGATTGAACTTGTGGATATCAAGGTCAGAAAGTGGGGTTGTTTCCCTTTGCCCGACCACTTAGGGGTTACTTGATCATGGTAAAATCATGGGGCCTGTGCAAATTGGGGCGGGGCAAAACCTTGAAAAGCACAGCAGACAGGGGTTCCACTGCCTTGCCTTCCTGGACTGGACGCACCTTGTTGCCCTTTTTCAGCAAATCCCTTGTGGGGCCTCTTGTTTTCGGGGCCTTCCAAAGAGCCGGAAGAAGCAGGAAGCATCAGGAAACAGCAGCAAAGAAACATGAAACAGCAGGAAACAAAGCAGCCCTTGAACGTAGAGCTCGCGCTTGCAAGTGGGAGTGACAACGCAGGTGTCAGGGTAAGCTCCGCGAGCACACATTTTTATTGTACACGCTTCGTGCTGCCCGCCTCGGCCAGCATCAGCCAGTTTCGGCTTGCTTTGAAGGAATGGCATTTCGTTGTGGGCGCTCACATCAAGGACGCTTGCAGGCGCTGTCGGCTCCCTTTGTGCCTCTCTTGGTGGGCTGTCTTGGTGGGCTGTCTTGGTGGACGCTTGTGGGCGGAAGTCTTGCGGGCGATGTTCATGAGCGCTTGCGGGCGCTTGTGGGCGCTCCTTCGTGGGGCTTGTGGGCGCATGTGGGCCACAAGGACGGAAGTCTTGCAAGCGTGCATCATGAGTGCTTGCGGGCGCTTGTGGGCAGCACTGTTGCCTCTGTGGGCGTTCCTCTTGGCGGGTGCTTCTAGGCGCATGTGGGGGCTCTTCTTGGGCGCTTTCGGGCGTGCGGCGCATATGGGCGCTCGCCCACGCTCTCTGCTGGGTGCGCTTGTGGGCGCATCTTGCGGGCGCTTGTGGGCGCTTGTGGGCGGCAGTGTTGCGCTGTTGCGGGCGCCCGCAGCGGTCCATATGGGCGCTTACATTACTGGGGTTCAATCCTTCTTTTCATGGGGGTTGAACATGTTTACCTCACTCTGAGTGGACTGGCCAAAAAATGCAACCAAAGTTGTTGTTTACAACTAACATGTCCAGGAACCCATCAGGGAGTGAGAATCCAAAGGGAAGGGTTCAAATTGCCGCCTGAATGTTTACAAGGGCGGCATTCAACGACACCGTCTGGCCCAACAGCTGAGAAAGGCTGCGCAACCCCATAGCCTTTGGCTGCAAGGTTGTTTTATTTCTGGACATCTAGCTGCGCCGCGCATATCTAACCGTCAACCTATTCGGCTCGTCTTGTTGAGGGCCCGCAAGGAGATTGGGTGCTCCTTTTGCTTTCCCTGTCCCTGTCTGTCAAATTCGGTCAGATCTTGTGTCATTTGCCCAGAACCCAAGCTCTCTTGGTGCCACTCGCCTGCCCAATAAGACGCCCGCCCTCAAGCGCCCGCAACGCTGCCCACAAGCCCAGCCACAGACCGGCGCCCACATGCTCACAAGCCCCCAAAACTGCCCACAAGCACAAGGAAGAGCGCAACGGCGCTCCCGGAAGACGCCCGCAACACCGACGCCCACAAGCCCAGGAAGATGCCTGCAACGCCCACAAGCGCCCGCAGGCCCAAACAGCACAAAACTCTCCGCAAGTGCCCGCAAGGAAGAACAGCCGCATCAAAACCACGACGCTCAGAGAACACCGCCCGCAACGCCCAGCAAGAACGCCACTCACATGTGAGTATCTGAGACCCTTTGACCGGTTGATGGACAAAGTCTCACGTGTTGGGGTTGGACCATTTTAGTGGTTGTGGCTGTGGACATTTTGCTGAGCTTGTGTGGGCGTTGTTGTTGGCGTTAGTGCGCTCTCTCTCTCTCTCTCTCTCTCTCTCTCTCTCTCTCTCTCTCTGTCTCTCTCTCTCTCTCTCTCTCTCTCTCTCTCTCTCTCCCTCTCTGTCTGGAGTTTGTGGGTGTTAGCGACTCCGGAGGCTTGTTTGTGGATGACCTCCAGCTACTTTTGTGAGTACCCAGGCGCACGTAAAACTTCAGCGCTTTGTGTGTCCGTGCGCACACACGCTGCGTACGTGAATCAGTGTGCAAGAAACAGCTGGCGGCGGGAAGGGGGAGAGGGAGGGAGGGCGGAGAGGGAGGAAGGGAGTGCGTGTTTGAGTGCGTGTGTGTTTGTGAGTGTGTTTGTGAGTGAGTGAGTGAGTGAGTGAGTGAGTGAGTGAGTGAGTGAGTGAGTGAGTGAGTGAGTGAGTGAGTGAGTGAGTGAGTGAGTGAGTGAGTGAGTGAGTGAGTGAGTGAGTGAGTGAGTGAGTGAGTGAGTGAGTGAGTGAGTGAGTGAGTGACTGACTGAGTGAGTGTGTGAGTGTGTGAGTGCGTGAGTGCGTGAGTGTGTGAGTGTGTGAGAGAGAGAGAGAGAGAGAGTGAGAGACTGAGAGAGTGAGAGAGTGCGAGTGAGAGAGTGAGAGAGTGAGAGAGTGAGAGAGTGAGAGAGTGAGATAGTGAGAGAGTGCGGGCGTGCGTTGAGTGCGTGACTGACTGCGTGACTGACTGCGTGACTGACTGCGTGAGTGCGTGAGTGCGTGATTGAGAGAGCGAGTGGGCGAGTGAGCGAGTCAGCGAGTGAGCGAGTGAGCTGTGAGCGAGTGAGCGCGTGCGTGCTTGTGAGTGTTTGTGAGTGTTTGTGGGTGATTGTGAGTGTTTGTGAGTGATTGTAAGTGTTTGCGGGTGATTGTGAGTGTTTGTGTGAGTGTTTGTGAGTGTTTGTGAGTGTGAGTGATTGTGAGTGTTTGTGAGTGATTGTGAGCGTTTGTGAGTGTTTGTGAGTGTTTGTGTGCTTCTGAGTGCTTGTGGTTGTGCGCACTTTTGCTCTTGCTGGGATTGTGGGCGCTTTTGTTGGGCTTGTGGGCGCTTCTGGTGGCTGTGGCTTGGGCTTGTGGGCGCTTGTGGGCGCCCTTGCTGGGCTTCCAAGCGCTTCTGCTGGGCAGTGGGCGCTTTTGCTGGGCTCAGCGCTTTTGCTGGCCTGCTCTTGCTGGGCTTGTGGGCGCTTTTGCTGGGATTGTGGGGCTGGGCGCTTTTGCTGGGCTTGTGGGTTTGTGGCGCCCACATGCGCCCACGTGCGCCCACATGCGCCCACACGCACTCGCATCAGCCCGTTTTTTTCACGTTTTTTGCCGTTTTCGACACACAAGTGCCCAAGTGCCCACAAGCGCCCACACACAAGGCTATGCACTGTTGTGGGCTCCGACACAAGCCCAGCCAAACCCAGAAGCGCCCACAAGCCCACGCCCAAGCGCCCACAAAAGACCAAGCGCCCACAAAATCCCAAGCGCCCACAAGCGCCTTACAAGCCCGGTAAAAGCGCCCACAAGCCCAGCAAAAGCGCCCACAAGCCCAGCAAAAGCGCTTTGCTTGTGCGCGCTTTTGCTGGGCTTGTAAGCGCTTTTGGCTAAGGGATTTTGCTTATGGGCGCTTGTGGGCGCTTTTGTTGGGCTTGTGGGCGCTTTTGCTGGGCGTGTGGGCGCTTGTGGGCTCTCTTGGGTGCTTGTGCGCTCTTGCTGGTGAGCGGTTTTGCTGCGATTGTGGGCGTGTGTGGGCGGTTGTGGGTGGGCGCTCTTCATTCTGGGCTTGTGGGCGCTTTTGCCGGCGCCCACATGCACCCACATGCGCCCACATGCGCCCACATGCGCCCACATGCACTCGCGTCAGCCCGTTTTGTCCCGCTCGTTCCCGTTTTTTCCCGCTCGTTCCCGTTTTTTCCCGTTTTTTCCCGCTCGATCCCGTTTTTTCCCGTTTTTTCCCGCTCGATCCCGTTTTTCTTTCTTTTCCCACAATCAACCAGAAGTGCCCAGCGCCCACATGTTTAGCTGCACCGTTGTGGGCTCACTTGCTGTGAGTAGGCCGGCACCTGCAGGTGGCACCCTTTGCTGCGCTTTTGCTGCACTTTTCGGTGGGCGCTTGTGGGCTTTTGCTGGGCTTGTGGGCGCTTTTGCTGGGCTTAGGCTTGTGGGCGTTGGCGCGTGCTCGGGCGCTTTTGCGGGGCTTGCTGGGTTTGTGAGTGGGCTGGGCTTGTGGGTTGGCGATCTTGTGGGCTTGTGGGCTCTTTTCCTGGCTTGTAGGTTGTGGGCGCTTTTGCCGGGCTTGTGCTGGGCGCTTGTGGGCGCTTGCGATTTTGTAGGCGCTTGGGCTTTTGCTGTGCTTGTGGGCGCTTGTAAGCGCCTTTGCTAGCTGAGCCTGTAGAGGCTTGCTGGGCTTGCGCCGCGCTTTTGCTGGGCTTGTAGGCGCTTTTTGGCGAAGCGCTTTTGCTTACGGGCGCTTGCGGGCGCTCTTGTTGGGCTTGTGGGCGCTTTTGCTGGGCTTTCTGGTCGGTTTTGCTGGGATTGTGGGCGTGTGTGGGCGGTTGTGGGTGGGCGCTCTTGCTGCGCTTGCTGGGCTTGCTGGGCTTGTGGCTCAGCACTTGTGGGTGGGCGCTTTTGCTGGGCTGCTGTTGCTGGGCTTTGCGGGCGCTGTTGCTCGGCTTTGCGGGCGCTGTTGCTGGGATTGTGGGGCTGGCTTGTGGGCGCTGTTGCTGGCTTGTGGGCGCTTGTTGGCGCTTGTGCGCTCTTGGGCGCTTTTGCAGTGCTGGGCTTGTGGGCGCTTTTGCTGGGCTTGTTGGCGCTTTTGCTGGGCTTGGCGCTCTTCTAGGCTTGTGGGTTTCTTGGGCTTGTGGGTGCTTGTGGGCGCTTTTCTTGTGGGTTTGTGGCGCCCACATGCGCCGACATGCGCCCACATGCACTTGCGTTGTCCCGCTCGTTTTTTCCCGTTGTTCCCGCCGGGCCGAAGTGCCCACAAGCGCCCACATGTATCCCTTTAAGATGCACACAAGCCCACAGGCTGCACCGTTGTGTGCTGAGCAGGCGGGCGCCTGCACGTGGCACTTTTGCGAGGATTGTGGGTGGGCTTTTGCTGGGCTTGTGGGCGCTTTTGCTGGGCTTACGGGCGCTTGGGCTTGCTGGGCTTACGCTTGTGGGTGCTCTTTGTGGGCGCTTTTGCTGGGCTTGTGGGCTGGGCTTGTGGGCGGCTGGGCTTGGCGCTCTTGTGGGCTTGTGGGCGCTTTTTCTGGGCTTGAGGCTCTGGGCGCTGGCGCTTTTGCTGGGTTTGCGGGCTTGCTGGGCTTGTGCGCGCTTTTGCTGGGCTTGTGGGGCTTGCGGGGGCTGTTGCTAGGCTTGTGGGCGCTTGTGCGCTCTCTTGGGCTTGTGGGCGCTTGTGCTGGGCTTGCCGCTTTTGCTGGGCTTGGGCGCTTGTGCGCTCTTGGGGGCGGTTTTGCTGGGCTTGTGGGCGTGTGTGGGCGGCTGTGGGTGGGCGCTTGTTGGCGCTGTTGCTTGGGCTTGTTGGCGCTTGTGGGCGCTTGGGTGGGCGCTTTTCAGCACTTGTGGGTGGGCGCTTTTGCTGGCCTGCTCTTGCTGGCCTTGTGGGCGCTATTGCCGGGATTGTGGGGCTGGGCTTTGGGCGCTTTTGCTGGCTTGTGGGCGCTTGTTGGCGCTTGCGGGCGCTCTGGGGCGCTTTTGCGGGGCTTGCTGGGCTTGTTGGCGTTGCTGGGCTTGGTTCTTGTGGGTGCTTTTGCTGTTTGGGCGCTCTTGTGGGCGCTTTTGCTGGGCTTGTGGCGGTGGGTGTTTGTAGGCGCTTTTGCCGGGCTTGTGGGCGCTTGTGGGCTCTCTGGCGCTTTCGCTGGGCTTGCAGGCGGCTTGTGGGCGCTTGTGGGCTCTCTTGGGGTTGTGGGCGCTTTCGCTGGGCTTGTGGCGCTTTTGCTGGGCTTGCGAGCGCTTGCGCGCTCTTGCTGGTGGACGATGCCTCAAAAAAGTCAACTGCTTCAAGACGATGAGGGTTCCTCCGGACGATCGCAAACCTAGGCCCAAAGCAAATGTGTCTGAACTTTTGGTAAAAGACGCCCTGCTTACCCTTAATCCAGGTTGTCGGTGGGCTTGTGGGCGTTTTTGCTGGGCTTGTGGGCGCTTATTGACTTATAACGCTTGTGGGCGCTTTTGTGGGCTGCTAAGAGCTTTTGCTGGGCTTGTGGGCGCTTGGGCGCTTGTGCGCGCTCTTGCTGGGCTTGTGGGCGCTTTTGCTTTTTGCTGGGCTTGTGGGCGCTTGTGGGCGCTTTTGTTGGGCTGGCCCTTGTGGGCACTTTTGGGCGCTCGTGGGCTCTTGCTGGGCTTGTGGGCGCTTTTGCTTTGTTGCTCTTTCTGGGTTTGTGGGCATTGCGGGCGCTTGTGGGCGCTTGTGGGCGCCGGTTTTTGGGGCGCTCTTGCTGGGCTTGGTTGGCGCTCGTTTTGGGGGGCTCGTGGGTGCTCTGTTTGTGGGCGGGGTTGCGGGTGTGGGCTTGTAGCTCTTGGCTTGGTGGGTGGTGTTGCGGGCGCCGCGCTTTTCATGGGCTTGTGGGTGCTAGTGGGCACACGCGGGCTCTCTCTTGGTTTGCTTCCATGTGGGCGCATGTGGGCGCTTGCTTGTGGGCGGAAGTGCTGCGGGGCTTTCTGGCGGGCGCGTGAGCGCATGGGCGCATGCGGGCGCTTCTGGGCGGATGTGGTGAGTGCTTGTGGGCGCTTGTGGGCGCAGGTGCTTTCTTGATGAAGTGTTGTGCTGCGGGTTGTGAACGCATACAAGCGCTTGGAAGAAGTGCCTCTTTGATGGGTGCTTGTGAGCGCACGTGAGCTTGTGGGCGCTTGTGGGCGCCAGTCAGTCTGGGTGGGTCATGAACGCATGCGGGTGGAAGTCTTGGCGGTGTGGGCGGTAGCGTTGCGGGCGCTCCAGTCATGGTATGAGGGCGCATGTGGGGCTGAACTTTTTTGCGGGCGGTTTGCGCCCTTGTGTGGACGGTTTTAGCTGCCATGGACACTTTCAGTCGGCGGTGCGGGTACTGGCACTTGCGGTTGCTTCTCGGCGGCGTTTTTCGGGGTCGCCTTCATGCGCATGTGGGCGCTTGTTGGGCGGCAGTGTTTAATGCCTTTCATGGGCGCTTGTGTGCGCTTGTGGGCGCTCTTTTGCGGGTCTTGTGGGCGCACGTGGGCGCTTGTGGGTGGAAGTGTTGCGTGCGTTCTCCACGAGTGTGCATGTGGGAGCTTGTGGGCGCTCAGCTTACGTTCGGATGTTTAGATGCTGCAGTCATCAGTGCAAGAGTAAATGGCGTGTTCTTGAGACGCGCTGAGCCAGCGTCGACTTTGGGCGCTTGGGCAGGTTTGGGATCTGGGTGTTTTTTTTGTGTTTTTCCTGTGTTTTCCCGTGGCTTCAAGTTTTTTTCTGGAGGGCAGAGGGCCCCCACAAGCCAAGGCCCCACATGAAGTTTGCTGACTTTTGTCCACAAGTGGAAAGTGGGTTTGAACAGGGAGGCCATGGGCTTTGGTTGAAAAACATACGCTGAAGGATGCTAAGTCAAATGTGGCTGGAATCTGTTGACGCGTTCGTTCCCCTCGTCAGACGGATTGATCGATTTTTCGAGTTGCCGCCTGAAAGAGGCTCCAAGTCTGAGATGCAGTCAGTGTGACACAGCCAGATCCTGGCAAACGCGCAGGTCTGGGTTGGAGTTTCCGTGTTGGGCTACGCAGATCCGCTTACGCCTACGTCCAGGTCTGAGCGTCTGTGGGCCACAGACCGTCTAGCTCGGGTTTGGGCGTCTGCTTATCACGCCAGGCACAGTCAGATACGCGCAGGTTGGCATCTGTGTGTGAGTGTGTGTGCGTGTCGTCACGATGCAGTCAGACACGCGTAGGTCCGGGTTTGAGTGTTTGTGTGGACGCGCGCAGGCCAGCGAGGTTTGGCATGGTGCGTGGGTTCGCGCAGCAGCAGGCTTCGCGCAAGAATAGGACAAGCGCAGTTCGAAGTAGAGTTTTTGTGTCAGCTGCGAGGGAATTGCCCGGGAGCACGCACAGATGACAGCCGCGCCGCAGATCTGTTTGGGGTTTGGGCCATACTCCTTAGACCCTTGCTGAGGGGGGGTGAATGGACCCCGCCAACCCCTTTAAGAACACTCCGCGGGCTTGCGGGCTCCCGAGTAGTTTGGCGGTGGTGAAAAAGCATTCCGCCCTCCCGCCCTCCTACTTGGTTTTAAGCGAGTTTAGCTTCCGTGGGGTGATGCTTGAAGGGAAGCAGAGGAAGTCCTAATTTGGAAGACGGCTGCAACATGCCACGGAACGGGTGGGCCTTTGTTTCTAGCTCCCCCAGTAGTGCCCTTTTACCCCTTTTTGGTCGACCCATTAGGCGCGGTTTTGGACACAGGGCAGCCGCAATTTCGCGGATTCCGCAAGCATTTGGTTTTGGACCCGTTGGCCTGTTTGCTCCTGGCCTGGGGATTTATGGCCAGGCTCCCTGCCTTCGAGTTGCGTTGCTGGTTGGTCGAAGATGCCATCCACGGCTTTTGTGAGTGCGGGCAGGATCAAAGCCACAAGCACGTTTGTAGCACCGTTTGCTTTTTGGCCCAGCTCACACACTGTTGTGCCGCGGGCCTCTCTGTCCATTTTCCCTAACTTTCAGTCAGCCGCTTAAGGCGGTTTTGTTGCTTCCTCTCGTTGGCGTCAAATGGAAATGATGTCATTTGAGCCGCCCGAAGCTCGCCTGCGGGGTCCTGCATGCGTGGGCGTGGGAACGTTTTATTTTACGGCGTCTGCTTTCTTTAAGCGTTGAAGCAAACAAGCAGCATGTACACGTTCGGAGAGCCCACCCGTTGGAGCAACCCACTTGGGTCACTTGGGAGCTTCTCAAAAGAGCGAACCGCTTGGGTTTGTGTTCGACTGGAAACAAATCAGACACCAATTTGACCCGTCTCTTGAGAACACGACTTGGGTCAGCTTCTTGAAAGAGTGAACCCCTTGGGTTTGTGCGGAAACCAACCGTATCTTGAGAGCACGGGCCTGGCCCCCCCCCCCCCTGGCCAGGCAGCGACACCTTGGGCTCGGAGCTCTCCTCTGACCTGCCGCTGGGCTTCGAAAGCGGTTTGTTTTTTGGCCGAGGCCAGCGGAGGTGACATGGGTGTGGGTCAAAATTAAAGCACCAGGAATTGGACATAATTGGACCGCAGGTTTTAGTCTACTTCTCCATTTGCCAAAGCCATACTGGGTACCTCTTTTTGACCCACAGCATTCCGCAGAGTAAATTCCAAGGCCGGAGGCTAACCCAATGGCAGCCCTCCGCTTCACTCCCTCGTAGGCCGTGTGTTGCCAACGGCTAGGACCCACCCGGAAGAGGGGGCCGCAAGGCAATTAGAACATGACATGGAACGCCTCGTGCCCACATTCGACTTTTTCTGAGTAGGCAAATTCAAGGCCCATTCAAGGCAATCCGTTTGGATGACCAAACTTTCTGGTGGAAAGTTGGTGGGAACGGAAGAACGAGGTTCTCAAAACATAAGCCACTGTTCCTTCAAAAGGTGCACTGAGTCCAGCCCCCACCCCCAACCCCCAACCCCTCACCCCCCGGGGCATGATATTTAGGGCAGTCCGCAAGAGCCTCGGGTTACGAAAGGGTTTTGCTAATAGGGTGTGTGGAAAACGAGATTGGAATGCCGGCACTCCCTTGTCCAAAAAAGCCGAGTTTTGGGCCTGGACCAAATCCCACTTTGAGAGCCGCCATTTGTGGGCCCCGTAAAAGGAAAACTGCAACCGGACCAAATCCCACTGTCCCCACAAAGAGTACCAGCAATAGACGCCCACACCAGCCTCTTCCAATCCCACCCTTAGGTGTCCTTTTTGGTCGAAGGAAGATGGCCTTGACCTGGTTGTTTCACAACCTACCGGGAAAATCCATCTAGTATCATTGAAATGGACACCTATCGAATCCCGCCGCTTTACAAACAACCCAGCAAAAAGAGTACCCTTCAGAAACATGGTCACCTCAGAACAATTCTCTTGGCACCCCTAACCCGGTTTAAACAAACTATCTTTTTTTTGCGAACCCACTCAGAAAGTGAGCTTCCCAGATAGGCTCCGTGGTGGGCGGCTTCTCTCGCCCAGGAAGACCTTCAGCGGCAACGTGCTGGGCGGCGTCTCGGGCTGGGAGCGAGAGGCCGAGAGCGTGGCCGGAGCCCGAGCGAGGTTTCTCAGTTTTTGGGGTTTCGGGTTTCGCTGCGAAGTGAAGAACCAGGCAAAACCAAGACAAAACCAGGGGGAAGCCAAGAGAACACCAGAGAAAACTCGGGCGCACGTATGCGGCGCCATGGACACAGGATGCGCAACAGACCATGGACGCTCCTATGAAATTAGCCGAAAAGCACATGATGCTTGCATCCACCTAAACATGCAGCTGTCCTATTTCATGCATGCCAAGCCTCACAAGGACTTGAGCAACCATAATTTGCCTTCGCACTCATTTTGGCTTGGAGACTTCATTGCGACTGGGGTGGTCCTTTTCATCCTACCACTGTTGGGAGGTTGAAACTCAAATGAAGGCAAGCTCAGAACCAACCCGGGAGTTTGTTCTTTCAGGGCGGCAATCTGTGTTTTTTTTTGTTTGGTGGCTTCCCCACTAAAACTGGACCGGTAAACCCGAAAGGTTCCCTTTTGCTTACCAGGTCACTGAACAACTGGGGACTTTACCGGGCTTTTCCCATACGCAAATTCACCGGGTCCCTGGTGTATTCCAGGGTTGCCAATTTTGGGTGTGTCCTTGCGATTGTGCTCCCAGTGGATCCCGGTAACCCTTATAGTAGGTAACTAGGGATTTTCCTATTGTGAAATCGATCTCTAAAAGTCAACAAGGGCACATAACACATATTCTTGAGCAAATGGAAGAAGATGCATCTGGGGGCCCCCAGGCTCCACGAAAGCTGCAAATGAAGTCAGACTTTTGCTTGAGCAACTACATATAAAAGTACACCATCTGTATCTTCACGATAATCACAATTTCTTAAACAACTACATCCAATACATCCACTAATACTTGTTGTAAATGAAACTTGTAGTTGGACATCCTACATCATCATTTATCATTGGGAAATTCACTCAATTTTGGACTGGGCCCCACCCAAACCAAATGCATGGTACTTTGGCAAATAGGAATTCACAAACCGAACATAAGGGGTCTCTGTGCGTTGCCCCAGCCCCTTGAACGCGTATGCTGGATAAGGGAGTGTTGGGGAGGTCGCTGAGGGCAGGCGTGCTACTCCCTCTCACTTCCCTCCCTCGCTCCCTCAATCTCACTCTGACTTGCCCAAAGGACCTGGAAACACAAAGGCTGTTCACGCGTTGTCTGTGTGGACGTCCATCAAAACAGGCCCCCCCGCCCCGAAAAAAATAAGCTCAGGTGATCTCCCCAGCATGCGGTGCTCTTTTTAGTGGTCGCACCACCCCGCAGCCCTCGCAGAACCTCGCGGAACCCTGGTGGGGTTTCTTACCTCAGGGCCACCCCAGCCCACCCCGGATCCTATCCGGGCTGAGACCCCAAAGCTTTCAGCTGTTGGGAGAAGTTTACCTAAACCGAACCCCCTCAGTGGGTCCATTTTCCTGTAGGTACTGGAAAAATGAATCGCTGTGACTACTTTTTTCTATATGTCCTCATGTTCTTTTCCGGGGGACCACAAACAAAAACAACAACACGCGACTGGACACGTGGTTCGAGGTTTGGAACGTGGAGCACATCGACCACTACGGAGCCGCATGGGGCCTGCCTGGGAGCCTCAGCGAATGGCTGCCCGAAAAAATCCGAGCCGCCTGGCTTGAGGGTTGGCCAGATTTTCTTTAGGCCCCCCAGCCAGGTGCCATTCTTATTTTTGACCGTTTCTTTTTTGGGTTGGGAGGGTTTTCCCCTACTAAAAGGCGTACTAAAATAGGCAAAAAAGGGGAAACATCAGGTACCAACTTATTCTAACCTCTCTACTGGAGGACCTAGTTCTGGTGCGAAGGGAAAAGGACACTGCGAGATCCAGCACTTTGAAACCACGGGCGGGTTGAAAGTTGAAACTGCTGCGCTTTTTTTTGCAAGTGAATCTTGAATCATTCCAGGGTTTCGGAATGGTGGTGCGCTTTGCGGATTCGGCAATCCACAGTACCACATTTTGCCTTCAATGCTGATAACTATGGGGTCGATAGGCCCAGTTGGGCTCCAAATTGAGTGCTTTGGAGCAGCTTGGCTGCAGGTCACTTTAACTTTGTGAGACCAATCCACTCAAGTGACTTGGTGGACATGTTCATGAACACTATGTCCACCAAGGAGTCCATCCAATTGAGATTCATTCGCCAAATGCGCGCGCGCGGGTGTGTGTGTGTGTGTGCGCGCGCGTGATTGTGCGTTCTGTTTTAGGGGACCACCATTTGCCCTATTGGTTTCCCTTACAACAACAGCCAAACGGAGGCCTCAAAAAAGGCGAGCCTTTGCCTTCTTCAGGGAGCCTTTGCCTTCTTCAGGGGCAAGTCATGCCCAGGGTCCCTTCAAGGACACGTCTGCTCATTGCATGGTGAGCCCACCGATTTGGGGGTTGTTCGCGAGCTTTGGTGGGATCCAATCCGTACTTCAGGTTTTGGATATACGGGTAGCTCTTGGACCCCCAACACAGTGATTTCTCTCTTGGCGTTCCTTTAAACCCAAAGTGGGGTACCTCAAAGAAGACACACCCTTGTTGTAAAAACGGCAAAAACAGTTGGCTCGGTTAGACAATCACCGACTTGGGTTTTTGGATGGTCCTCTCCTTTTTCGGGCCCCGCCCCAATCCTGGGCCGAATCCACGCGACTAGCGTCTTTGGGGTTCCTGTTTGGAGCCTTTGAGGGGTTCAATTCCAGTTTGGGTGGGGCCTTTGAAAATCGGGTAACCCAAAATGGGTTGTTGGGGGGTCATGGAAAGGACGATTTAAGGGGCGAGTGTCCTGGTGGTGACTAATTGACCACCCATATCCTACTGGAGCCATTCCTAACCAGATATCCGGTTTGTCCTTTTTTCGCGCGGAGGCTTGGAACCGACAGGTGAAGGACAACTTCACGCAACACGTTTGAGACATTTGTCAGAATCCATTTTGCACCCCCCCCCCTTCTTTTTGAGCCCAACTTTTGTACTCAACCTTTGCTTGGTGGCTCCCAGCCATCACCTTAGCCTTTTTGCTTTTAGTGTTTAGTTGTAGTTTCCATTCAACCCACTAAAAGGTAGTCACTTTTTAGCGGGGTCTGAAAACGGGCAGCCCAGTTTGTTCAGAACCCGTTTTTCCCGAGCCCATTCCACGCTTCGCCACCACTTCTCGGCTCGGGACTTGGGGCATCGATGCGATTCAGGCTTCGGGGCATCATAGAGGTGGCGCTCATCTACCTTGCCTGTTGCGGCCTCGGCGTCCGATTGAATTTCTAGGTCTTCCAGCTAGGTGCCCTTTGGCCGTTTCTTTTTTGGGTTGAGAGGGTTCCCCTACTAAAGTAGACTACAGAAAAAAGTTGGTACCAACTTATTCTGCCCTCTCTACTGGAGGACCTAGGAATAATTCGTTTTCGGCCGAAAACGCGGCGTTCCAACTCGGCGTTCGGCGTTGGATTTGTGCTGGTCCCTGGTGGGGTTTGCTGACCCCTGATTTTTTGTTCACCCCGCTTATGATAAAACAAGGGGTCCCTTATGGTCCCTTGTTGGTGGGAAATCCTTTCTGGGAAGGAGAGCCCCCCAACGAATAAGTGCAGGGTTTGTTCATGAGGCAGGGGTCAATCTTACCCTTGTTGAGCTTGGTCCAAAAAGGGACGCCAAACGGGAAACCACCAGTTCTTGGGTGTTCTTGGCACTGCCCTGTAAAGCGAATGCCTGCTGGTTTCTGCATGTTTGGCTTATGTTTGGCATCTGGTTCGAGAAAGGTTAAAAGGTCTCAGAAGCTGACTCCTTTTCTATATGCAACTGCAGGCTGACCGCTTCATTTACTTTCATATGCCTGCTCTCTTCCTTTTCTCTTTTCTAGCTCATGATTTTCTCCCATTCCCTCTCTCAGCTATTAGCTTGCGAATGGATAAGAGAGGAGAATGAGGGAGTGAGGATATGATGGGAGACCAGGTGAGCTTCTTTCTCTTTCTTGGATTTGTGCAAGTTTCCGGACAAGCTGCATGGCTTTGGACCAATGACTTTATTCCCTGCTGCTGGCTTGAAAGGGAATGTCTTTGTACTGGCACTCCATATTGTTCCATTGGAACAAGCAAATCGAAGCATAACAAGCAACTGGAAGCATACTTCCATTTGCAATTTTCTTGCCATTTTCCCTTGTTGGTTTTAAAGGGAATCGATTTCACCACTGGACATCATGTTATTTTTTTTGTGGGGGGGGGGCGAAGAAGCCACTGGAAGCGAGCCGATCCTGGGCCTCGGGCAACGGTCCTCGGTTCCCGTGTCGGACCTGGGCGCAACGCGAAACCCGAGGTGGCGCCATCTACAAGCACCAGACCATGGGAGCCAGAGGCGTCCGTGGGACGAGGGGAACTCGGAGCTCGAAGCTCCTCGCCCGAGCCGGGTGTTTCCTTTTGATCGGCGAGTTTGTGAACCCCGGATTAAGCAGAACCCCTGGTTGATTTTGATCGGGGGGTGAATCCCCATTTAGTGGTTGGATGGATGGATTCAGACCACTTTTGGAGGGAACACCCCCCTAATGGGATGGGTTTATGAATCCTGGGTCAACATTAGTGTGGTCAAAAATAGAAGGCACTGGTCTAGACGGGGTTTTAATTATTCCATTCGCCAGGGAAGCCCATCTCTTTTTTTCCAAAAGGACGGCCCTATGCTCGAGCCGGGCTGGGGGCGCTCGCTCGCTTTTTGTTCTTTTTTTCTCCGGGACGGCTTTGATTGGCATGGGCTCTGTCTCCCAAATAGGTCTTAGCTTGGCGGCAAGGGGTTGGGGCAGCTTTCCGGGAGGTGATGCCGGAGGGGTTCCAGGTGCCGGTTGGAACAGAAAACGATTTCTCACTCGAGTTCAGGGACTTGAAACCTCATTGTGCCAAGATAGAATTTTAGTGGCGACCAAGAAAGTTTGGACTTTCTTTGGCCTGCCCACTCAGTGAGACTTTGCATTTTATGCTAGACAAATATTTGGAACCTTCGATTTGCTGAATATGTTTATTTCCCCGGGTTGCAAAGTGACTGTATGACAACTGGCCACATGTTCATCATTTTTCCAAGGGGCTTAAGCAAAACTGGAGGGAACAGAATGAATCATCATGCGATTTTCAGCGATCCGCCCAGGTTTCTATTGGTACCTTCCCCACTCTTTCCAGGGATCCTTCTTTTCAGCAAACCATCAAAAACCCAGAAAAATGGATGCGGGTGTTTAAAAGAACGATGGTTGAAAAGAATGGACAAGGAATCAACCCTAGAAGGTTTGTCGCCCATCTTTGGAACGTTCAATTTGCTGAATATGTTTATTTCCCCTGGGTTTAAAGGGAACTTATGCCCGCCCAGGTTTGCAGGTTTTCATGGCCTCCCACCTCGCTTTGCCAGGCGTGCAGATGATCCCCCATCTCGGCTTCTGGATGGACTACCCAAATCTGGTGGTCGACGGGGTGAAGTACGCTCAGATGACGGGAGGCTTAGACATCTGTAGGTGCCCTGTTTAGGTTAGTCTAGTTAAGGATGGATGGCACTGGTTTTAGATAGGTTTTGTGCCATTTACCAGGGCCATCTATTTTTTCAAAAGGCCACCTATGCATCTGGCGGTGAGGATGCGCCGCACATGCTGAGTGCAGGATTCCCCTCGCGCAACAACATCATGCCATTACCCGTGCGTGTAATGAGCCCAGTGCATGAGTGGAGCAGAGATGACCTGCAACAGCATTTGGTCAACCTGCATGTCCCGGAGCCGCACAGAGAGTTGATGAAGGGAAAAATGTCACCGGCAGCATCCTGCAGAGAATGGAGCGCTTTGAGCCTTCAGAACTGGAGGAGATGTGGGGAATTACCCGCTGGGATGCTGTCATAATTCTGGCTACGGTGGCAAGAATCATGCAACAGGACCGGGCACAGGATGCAGCTGCACCATCGACCGTTGCACAGACCATTGCCCAAACGCCTGCGGCCGTTGACTGGAACCGTGAACCCCGAACTGGTGGTTTGGAGCAGCTTGGTTTGGAGATTCGAGCTGGCGTTTGCAGAGGGTACATGGGAAACCACCCCCTAAATACCAAACCACCGTGCTCCAAACCAGCCTTTTCGAGGGAGGCTCACTTTAGGTGTTGGATTCCCCTTTGACACGCACCCTTGCTTGTAAATTGTTTGCATAATGTCGTGATGCTTTCAGGCCGCGCAAGGCATCAATGGCACTTAAACAACTAGGGATACCTTCCCCATTCTTTCCAGGGGCATCCTTTAAAAAGCCACCCAAACCCGGGGGAAGCAGATTCGGTTTTTGAAAAGAACGATGGTGGAACAGAATGGACAAGGAATCAACCCGTAGAAAGAAGGGGCCGGACAAGGAGAAGCGACCTGACAATTTGTTGGTTACAGCCCCAAATTTTTCGTTGGCGCATTCTGCTTGGATGTTAGGGTTTTTTTGTTTGACCTTTTGCCAACGAATGAGTTTTCCATTAAACCACTAAAAGTTAGTCACTTTTAGCAGGGGAGCAGAGAGCAACCAAGTAAGAGCCGAACCAGATGGAAGGCACGGCGGATTCGTAGACATTGCAAGCAGTCGTTGTACCCCGAAAAATGCCTGTTACAACTCAACCTTCTGTGGGGCCTGGGTTTACGGAGAAATAAAGGAAGCTCCAACAGCAAGTCTAAGGACATGAAACATGAATCAATTCAGGGATCATCTTCACTGTTGTTGGCATGTGTGTAGTTCTTTTTCGTTTGTTTGGGTTCGGTTCATTGTTAAATGGGGGCTGCAAAAACGAACCATGGCCGAGTCCTCAGCTTCCATTTGCTTAAAGAAGACATTTTTCATTTTCCAACGTTGGTTTTAAAGGGAGCAACAAAAACCACTGGACAGATTCTCTCATTTTTTCCAGGGGGCTTGAGCAACTGGAGGCCGGCGCGCAAAGTTCCAAGAAAGTTGGGCGCGCCCAGGTTCCTTTCGGCTGCTACACGCATGATTGTACTTTGCGAGCTGGAACCCGTTTGTTGGAACCTGTTCTTCTTCCCGGATGTGACAACAGACCAAACTTAGTAGCACCAAAGCGATAAACAAAGCAGAGCAAAAACACAAGATGCAAACTGGAAGACCGCACTAGTTGACTGATTTGGCTCTGGCATCTGCAACAAAGTCGCTCCAACTTACCAATG